GAGGCTTAATATTAATTACAAACTGTTTGGTCTATGGCTCAGGCTTATTGACAGCTAGCTATTACATCTTTTTTAAAAAGATTTATTTTATTTATTATGTACACAAGCCAGAAAAGGGCACCAGATCTCACTACAGATGGTTGTGAGCCACCATGTGGTTGCTGGGAATTGAACTCAGGACATCTGGAAGAACAGCCAGTGCTTTTAACCACTGAGCCATCTCTCCAGCCCCCTAGCTGTTACATCTTAAATTAACCCATTTCTATTCATCTATGTATTGCCATGTGTCTCATGGCTTACCTGTGTTCTGTTACATCTTGGTCCCCCGAAGAGGCTCGCAGTGTCTCCCTGACTCCGCCTTTCTTCTCTCTGTATCTCTGCTTGGATTTCCCACCTGGCTATAACCTGTCTTGCCATAAACCAAAGCAGCTTCTTCATTAACCAATGGTAACAACACATATTCATAGCACACAGAAAGACCATCCCACAGCAAAACGTCTCATTAGATCCTTGACCACTTTTAGCTTGAGCTGCTGGTGTTTTTATTGCTGAATTTTTAAGCGTTCTTTGTGTATTTCAAATAGCAGTCTTTTAACAGTGTGTCTTTTGCAAATATGTTCCTCCACTTTTTGGTTTTGCTTGTTCTTTTGAAAGTGTCTCTTGCAAAACAAAATATTTAAATTCTAGCTTTTCATTATCTCTTCCATAGAATGTACCATTGATGTTTTATTTAAAAAGTTATTAGTGGGCTAGGTGTGGTGGTGCATGCCTTTGGTCTTAGCAGTCAGGAGGCAGAGGCAGGCAGGTCTCTGTGAGTCTACATATGGATTTCCAGGACAGCCAGGGCTACATAGTAAGACCTTGTTTCCAGAAAAAGGTAGGGAGGGAATGAAGGCTGGGAGGGTGCGGGACGGGACAAAAGTTATTGCTGGGCCAGTGAGAAGGCTTATCAGGTAAAGGTCTTTACCCCCCAAGTCTGACAGCTTGAGTTCAATCCTCAGACCCGACGTTGTAGACGGAGAGAACCAACTCCCACAAGTTGTCCTCTGACCTCCACACATGGGCTGTCGTGTATGCCCTTCTCTCCTACAAAGTAGGTAAGTAAATGTTAAAAAAAGAAGGGAAGACTTCTGAGATCTGTCCATCTCAACTGGGCAGGGCAGTTCATATTGGTAATCTCTGTAAGCAGGAGGCTGAGGCAGGAGGATTACTGTGAATTCCAGGCCAACCTGGGCTACAGAGTGAGACAATACCTCATATCAAACCAAACCAACCAAAGAAACGAAGGATTTGTCACTCTCTCTGCTTACACTGCCCAGAGCTTCCTGCAGCCTCAGCATAGTGTTCAGACTTTAGGTTCCTGGTGTGGGAAGTCCAACATTCTCACCATATATGAGTCTGATGTTAGCTGCCTCCCCAGCTCAGGGTTTCTCTGGGTAATAGCTATGACTGTCCTGGAACTTGCTCTGTAGACAGGCTGGCCTCAAACTCACAGAGATCCACCTGCCTCTGCCTCCCAGAGTGCTGGGATTAATGGCGTGGACAGAATCTCACTAAATAGTTCAAGGTGGCCTGACCCTGCAATCTGACTTCAGCCTCCTGGGTGCTAGGATTACACTAGGTGAGCTGGTAGGCTCACTTGCTCAGTCTCTCTTTTCTAACATTTCCTTTCTTTTCTTTTCTTTCTCTGTCTTCTTTAATTTACTTTTTTAAAGATTTTTTTTTTTTTTAAAGCTGGGCAGTGGTGGCCCACATCTTTAATCACAGCACTTGGGAGGCAGAGGCAAGTGGATCTCTAAGTTCGAGGCCAGCCTGGTCTACAGAGTGAGTTCCAGGACAGGTAGGGCTACACATTGAAACCCTGCCTTGAAAAAACAAAAATAAATAAACAAAATAATTTTTTTTGAGATCCCTTCCCTTTCTTCCTTCCAAACCCTCTCCACTACCCCCCCTTCAAATTCATGGCCTCTTTTTCTTCTTTTTTTCTTGGTTTGTGTTTATTTATGAATATACGAATCCACCCCTGTGTGTTTTCATGGCTGACCATTGGCTTTAGAAACCAGCTGGGTGCCCTTCCCTGGGGAAGACTGTTTCTCTCTCGCAGCAATAGTTGCTGTAGTTGGTTGTGTAGGGTTGAGGCCTTGTGACTTCCTGGTTCCACAGTAACATGTCTGTTGGTGTCCTCTTCGTTCAGCTCATGTTCAGTCAGCCACGTTGGTGAGACTTCATGGATACAGCATCTCTTGACATTTCTAGGAGACACAGTCTCAGAACAAACTCCCTGTTCCTCTGGCCCCTGCAGTCTTTCCATCCCCTCTTCTACAATGACCCCTGAACCCGAGGGCAGCAGTTCTGTTGTCGATGTGTCAGTAGGGACTGGCCTCCACAACCCTGCACTTGGATGGGTTGTAGTTGTCTGGAATGGTGTCTCTGTCTGTTACAAAAAGGAGTTTCCTTGCTGAGGGGTGAGAGCTACAATTGCCTGGCTGGACCCTGGAATAGTATGTCTCTCTCTCCCGTTCCCCTCTCTCTGACCCCTCCTCCCTCCCTACCTTTCTTCTTCCCCCACCCTTGACAGGGTCTTGTGTTGTAGCCCAGGCTGGCCCAGGCTTTATTGTGATCTTCCTTAGTGTTTATAGTGCTGAGGTTACAAGTATGTGTCTCTATATCCATCTTCTCTTTTTAATCTTTACTAGGTGAAATTTGTGAAATATATAGAATTCTATAGGTAGAAAGGGTATACAGACAACAGCAACTTCCTGTTTTACTTTACTACCCCTCATTTACCACTAGGACATAAAAGTGTGCCAACATGCTGTGGACCCCTCTGGAAATATTCTAACGTATAGAAATATTTGGTTGTCTATATATTTGTGTTACGTTACAAATTTTGATACAAATGGTGGCTGCATACATGCATAAGTACCCTAGACTTCACATTTTCTCTCTTTTTTGTGTGTGAGGGGTTAATGTATCCTGGGCTGGCTTTGAATTCTCTATGTAGCTAATAATGAGCTTGAACTTCTGATATTTCCTTTTTGACTTATGTATCGTTCTATTCTTTGTAATGGCTGCAAAGCCCTCAATGCCTAATAAGTTCTTAAATCCAGTTACAATGGCTACTACATTTGTACATGAGTTTGCAGGAAATAAACATTCTAGCCATAGAGCTTCCATCCGTGGATCCTCTCCTCTCCTCTGTTTCCTCTGTTCCCCTTCTTAAGAAAGTGTCTCCTGTAGCCCAGACTGGCCTCTGAGTTGCCAGGTAACTGAGAATGACCTTGAATTCCTGATCTGCCTACTTCCTTTCTCCAAAGTACATTACTGATATGGGCCACCACACCCAACTTACAAAACTTTATTACAGGTATGGTACTTAGGACTGTGGATATAACTCAGAGGTAGAACATTTGCCTAGTGCATGTTAGGCTCTAAGTTAGATCCTCAACATTGTAACTTGAAAGGGCCGATGAGGTTTGAGCATGTGTTCTGAGGGGTGAATACAAAGAGAAACTGAATTTCCTCTCTAGTTCCAATTGTGTGCACTGATGCACATGTACTTATACTCACACACATCCAAAATCATACACTTTATTTATCTCATTTGTTTTACTTAACCATAGACTGGTATCATTCAAGTCAAAACAGAATGTTTGCTCACTGTGCTGGCTAGTTTTATGTCAACTTGACATAAGCTAGAGTCATCAGTATGGAGGGAGCCTCAGTTTAGAAAATGCCTCTATAAGATAGGGCTGTAGGCAAGCTTGTAGAGCATTTTCTTAATTAGAGATTGATGTGGGAGGGCCTAGCCTTCTTTGGGTTGGGACCATCCCTGGCCTGGTGGTCCTGGGTTCTATAAGAAAGCAGGCTGAGCAAGCCATGTGGAGCAAGCCAGTAAGCAGCACTCCTCCATGGCCTCGGCATCAGCTCCTACCTCCAAGTTCCTGCCCTGTTTGAGTTCCTGTCCTAACTTCCTTTGATGATGAACTGTGATATGGAATCATAATCCAAATAATCAATCCCTTTAGTCCTCAAATATTTTTGGTCATGGTGTTTCATCACAGCAATAGTAACCCTAACTAAGACACTCACTTATTTTTTTAAGAGCTTTATGAGTATTCTGACTGTTGTAATTCAGTGATTGTGAGGTTCACTGTGAATGTGGAGGAATCCTGAGTGTCAATCCTTGCTCTGGGTCTCACACGAGGATGGATTAGTGATAGCCTGATGCTGTACTGAAGTGTCCCAAACTGGGAGTCGAGTCCTCTTTCCATCATTCCCTTTTTTTTTTGCTTTGTTTTTCCAGACAGGGTTTCTCTGTGTAGCCCTGGCTGTCCTGGAACTCACTCTGTAGACCAGGCTGGCCTCAAACTCACAGAGATCCACCTGCCTCTGCCTCCCTGAGTGCTGGGATTAAAGGCATGTACCACCACCGCCTGGGGTTTCATATCTTTGAGCACTTGAGAATTTTATAGGATGTATTTCTAGGTATGGAAGTGATAAGTCTGTTGAGATAAGCATTATCAGCTTAACATATTTTAAAAATTTATATGTATGTGTATATGCACCACATGTGTGCAAGATGCCCTTGTACCCTCAGAGGCCAGAAGAGTGCATCAGATTCATTAGAGCTAGAATTACAAGCAGTCGTGAGCCATAGGTAGGGGTGCTGGGAAGATAACCCAGGTCCTCTGCAAGGACAGGAAATGGTCTTAACCTATCTCTCCAGTCCCAGCTTCACCAGTTTTAATATTTCCAAATGACCTCCAATGGTATCATTCTCCATCCTCAACCAGAGCATGTGAAAGTGTGTGTCTCTACCATATGTGGCAAAATTATAAGATTGTTTTCATGGGCTGGGCTGTAAATTGGTGGTAGTAGCACTTGCCTATCATGAGTGAAGTGAAGCTCTGGGTTCAATCTACAGTACTGCAAGAAATTTCGTTTTTTAATTTTGCTTACCAAAAAAAAAAAAAGAAAAAAGAAAAAAAAGCCGGATGTGATGGTGCATACCTTTAATCCCAGCACTCGGGAGGCAGAGGCAGGCAGATCTCTCTGAGTTTGAGGCCAGCCTGGTCTACAGAGTGAGTTCCAGGGCAGGTAGGGCTACACAGAGAAACCCTGTCTTGAAAAAAAAATTTTTTTGCCACCTTGACATATAAGAAAAGATACTTCACTGTATTAAAGATTTTATCTGTACTTATTTACTTATCTGTGTGCATGTCTGTGTGAATGTATGTACATTGCATGTATACACATGTGCATACTGAGGCTGGAAGTGCAGGTGTCTTCCTTCTTCCACTCTCTGCCTGTTCCTCTGAGTCAGACTCTCTTTCTGAACGCAGGGCTCACATTTTAGCTGGTGTGAAAGCCATCAAACCCTAGTGATCCTCGCAGTCTTCCGTGCTTAAAGCTGGGTTACAGGCATTTGCAGCGAACACCCAACTTGTTATCTGGTGTCGGAATCCAAACTCTGCCCCTCGTGGTTATAGAGCTCTTAACCCAAGACATCTCTCTGGTCCCTACTTCATGATTTTAATTATTTAACTCTGAAAGAAGCTAAACAATGCACACTTTGTTTTTGTAAACGAAAATGGTAGGATTATTTTAGATTTACAAAAACGCTGAGTAGGGTGGCAAAGTGACTCAGCTCAGCAGGTGAAGTTTGCTGCCAAGCCTGAGGACCTGAGTTCGAGTCCCTGGAAACCACATGGAGGAGAGAGAGAAGGAACTCTTACCACCTACCCTCTGACTTGCACACGTGCAAGTGTGGCCTCTGTGTACTCCCCTCCCCCAGTAAGTCAGACACTGAAGAAAGTTAATGGGAAGACCCTGTGTGGTTCCTAAATACCCCTCATAGCTTCCCCCAAGTGAACATACAGAACTGTGGTCCACTTGCCAGAATCCATCGGTGCAGTCCCGTCAGCAGAACTCTAGATTTCCTCTTTTTCCTGTCGGTGTTGTCTTCTTTCTTCTCCTGCTGGTTCTACAGTGCTGGATCCAGCCCTGGGCCTTTCACGTAGGCAGATGCTCCGTGTCCTCTGCCCTGTGCGGCTTTTCAGTGTGACTGGGAAGATCTCATTCCCTTTGATCCTTTTCTCTCCTGTCCCTCTTCCCTGCCACTTGTTTCTAACTTAAAAATGGAAAACACTGCTAACCAGTGTTGGGGATATAAGCAGGACTTGGAGGGATAGGCAAATCCGATCCTATTGCTACCTGTGTTGCTCATACTCAGCAGATGCTACCATATATAGTCAGCGTTTACTACCGTAACAAAGCACCCCAGGCTTGTCAGCTTAACCAGGTGTTTCTCACAGCTCTGGTCATCTAATCATGGTGTTGACATGGCCAGGCTCTGAGGAGCCTCCTGCGTTCTGCTGTGCCAGAGAGATGTTAGAATGATATGAGTGTTCTCTTAAGGACACTTAATCTCATCATAGAGCTCTACCCTCATGACTTCCAAAGGACCCCTCTCCAAATACTATCACATATTAAGTTATGGTTCCAGCATATGAATTTCCAGGGTACAAAACAGTCTATGCAAAACTTCCCTCTGATGATAGACACTTTTTACTTAGACACTACCAAACTCTCTGTGAGAGGTGGTCCCAGCCCATCCTAACATGCTCTGCTATTGATTTGAACTCAGTAGGTTTGTCTTCTGTGAGTGAGAAGAACTTAACTGCTTCCTTCTCTTTTAAGGCAGGCTCTCACTGTGTATCTGAGGCTGGCCTTGAACTCTGGATCCTCCTGCCTCCACTTCTCTGTAATCCATTTCTGCAGGAATTACAGCTCATACCAGCATGCTCATCCACTAGGAAACCTGAAGTAACTTGGTGAATGCCTTACCCGTCTTTGCAGCTCCATAGCTTTCCCCTTTGCTCCTGTCACCTGTGGTGACATTCTCACCTCTAGCTCTTTCATCGCTTCACTGAGTGCTTCTCTCTTCACTCAGTGCAGGAGTGAGCTTCAAGACATGAACCTGGACCACGCCCTGTGCCTCCCGAACCAAATGCAGGGGGTGGTTTTTATTCTCCAGGAATGTAGTTCTCAACTATTCCGGTCAGTATCATGAGACCAGGCTTGATAGTAGGTGTGGAGGACACTTAAGTCAGACTGCATAAGCTGAATAGAGGAGAGGTGCTTTCCCCACTGAAAAGTGTCGGTGTTATAATGAGAAGGAAGTATGGGGCCAGGCCATGGGGACAACTGTGGCACTCTGGGCCTTTGCTGAGATGTTGCTCTCCAGCCTGCCTCCCTTCTTGCCTCCCCTTCAGACAGGACCATTCTCCTCTGCAAGGCCATCTCCATGAGTCTTCTTTCCATGAATCTCTTCTCCTGCATCCAATGATGCATCAAAGTGAGGAGGGGGGTTTGTGTGGTTTCTGCAGACACTGTCGGTGGAGACCTTAAAAGCAATCGCAATGAAAACATAATCTGTTTTTTATCACAAGCATAACTGCAATTATAAGTCGTATCTGTCATAATACTCACTGGGAAAAAAAAGATACAGTTTTCTCAGAGTCGTGAGGTTTGCTCAAGGAAGTGTCTCAATGCAGCACACGGAACTGCTGCTTCTGACTGTGAAAATGCTCTTTTCAGAGGGAGTTGGGAACTCAGTCATGTTCAGGGTCCCCAGTCTTCTAGGGGTATGGGACAACCTAGATTCTGGGAGCTGTCTTCTCACTGTCCTGTGCTTGTCTCTTCTCTGGAGTGGCTCTTTCTACCTCCATTTCTCAACTATCCTAAACAACCTCCCACCACCTTCCCTGGGGTGGGGTGGGGGTCCTAGTATCCTAGAAAAAGATGCTCCAAGTCACCTCATTTTCCTGACTCACTGACCTCTTTTCACTGCTCTCAACCTGAGTCTGGCCAGAGGTACAACGGTGCCTGGACCAGCCATTCTCAGGGGGTTTCTTTTTATGAATCCATGTTGTGAAATGCAGCCCTCCTGATATAACATGGTGTTTGCACCTTAATCAGAACAGTTTGACTACCTGCATGAGACAGTAAGAAGCCTGGGCTTGTTGACATTCACACACATGGGTAGAGTGTGGAGAAGGATCATTAGATTCTCACCTCTGATTATAGCCACTCCCTCCTGCATACCACACTCCCAGTTATAATTCTGCCCTAGATAGACACAGTCTGGGGAGTATATGGGACAGAAGGTTAACTGAAGTGGGGGTGCTGGGGGGGATCCATCTGTGCAGCTTTCAGGAGCCATTAGCCATGCCAGGGTGGGACTTCCCAGTGGGCATCTGTTTGGGAGTCGTCCATGCTCCCATAAGTCCAGTAAAGCCACTGGACTAGATGGGAAGGTCTTTTGGTCAGTTGCTACTGTCCTATCTGGGATGAATGGATGTTTGTTCTTGTCTTCCTCAGAAAAACTAAGGCAGCACTTGGTACCCAGAGAGACAGGACAAAACTAAGGGTGAGTTTTGGAGGAGCAGCTGCAGGGTCCTTTCGGTAGGGTGGCACAACACGCAATGGAAGCTAAGCTGTTTGAGGTGGCACTTGTCCCAGGGGCAAGTCCTGCAGTGGCTCTCCTCCGTGAGGGGTAGGGCAGCATGCCTCCTTGTTGCGGCTGCATTTGCATTGTTGCTGCTGTGAGTGATAAGACATGCAAAGGAGGCTGAGCTGTCTGCCCCGAGGGAAAATTCATGGAGCAAATCCTGGTGGTGCCGTCTTCCCGAATGTCTTATGGGGTGGCATTCATTCTTGACATGTGGTCTAACAGGGCTGTATAGGGAGATCTCAGAAGTGACTGGCAAAAGGGAATCCATTGCAGATCCTGAAAGTAGCATGTATGGCATGTTTTATAAGAGGACCATGGTGAAGCTGTATTGCCCTTGCATGCAGCTGAGGCCCAGCTCTCTGCCCAGAAAACTTGTCTGCTTGAAGAACTAACAGTGACAAAAAGACATCATTTCGTGAGCCTCGATCTGGTAGGTACACAAAGGAGAGGATGGTTTGCCATTTCTTACAGCTGGGGGATGGACGGAAAAGAGACTGTCAAGCAAACCTTCTGGAACCCAAAAGTTGATGGAGCCCAGTGGGAAGAACTGAATCATGATTTGCATGGGGAGATGTGGTAGAAAGGATACTGAGGGGACTGGACAGGACAGAGGTGGTATTGGGGCCCATGTTCACCAGAGAGCTTAAGGAAGGTAATTCAGCTGGGGCTTTGGGACTGGTATAACCCTAGGATACATCATGATCATTATAAGGTAGGAGGGGCTCTGGCAGATCTGAATGATTTATACCGGCATATAAACTAGGTTCACAAAATAGAAACAATCAAGAAGAAATGAAAAAAAGAAAAAAACAGGTCACTCAAAAGCAAGTGTGGGAAGGTTTGTGTTGAGATAGAGTTTCTAGGGCAAAAAGAGACAGCTAAATTCAGTGCTTGTGTCTCTGAAGGCTTTTACGTCTGAGCAGTAGTTCACAAACGGGTAAGGGAAAGCATAAATGAGGCAATACGGGAGAAAAGGATTAAGCTTGACCCAGCACTGACAATTAGCCCCTCAGTGTGTGCTATGTTTATTTCTTTCCTGCAAGAAAGTGCTGTGGGGGTGGAGATTGTTTGCCCAGCCAGGCCCTTTCAATAGCCAGGTGTGGATAATGAAGAGGCATCAGCCTCCACTCTGCCCAGAGCCTGTCAGATCCAAGGAGTTGGTGGGCATGGCAGACGAGGTATAGCCACACTCCTCCTTGGCATCAGACCAAGGCAATTAGTGTGAGCCAGGCCCCCTGAGCTCCTAGGTGTGGGAAAATGTACAGTGGCCCTTTGGTAGCACCCCAGGATGAGGAAATGGGATGGCTTGTGGATAAACACTAGATGACAGGGAGCTAAATAGGTCGTCCCTCCCACCCACATCATTGTGTCCAACATTGCTCTTTTGAAAAAAGTGTTGCTACAGATGTTTGGGATCTTTTCATGGTGTTTTGGACCTTGCTTGCTAACTTTTTTTGGTTTACAGATACGATCTCATGGGTCCCAGTATGGTCTCTAAGTAGCCAGGGATGACCTTGAACTTTTGATCATTCTGCCTCCCCCTTCTGAGTGCTGGAATTACAGGAGTGTACTACCAAGTTTGGTTTTTGTGGTGCTAGAGATTGTGCATGCCAGACTAGGACTCCACCAACCGAGCTACATCCTGAGCCCCTAACTTTTTTTGTCTTAAGACAGTTGACACTTTCTCGGTGGGTCTTCAGAGATCTGCCCACCATCTGTAAAAGAACTTTATAATTCTAACCTCTGAATATCTTACAGACTTAGAAAAGCATCTGGAGTGCAGGCAAGTGCATTTAAAGAACAAGAGTGGGAAGTTATCCTGCACAAAGTGCCAGGACCATGCACAGCTGTGAGGTTCTGAGTTTTATGGTTGGATGTCATGCAGATGATACCCAGTAAAGTGATTAAGAAAATCCTACGGGTTGGGGATTTAGCTCAGTGGTAGAGTGCTTGCCTAGCAAGTGCGAGGCCCTGGGTTCGATCCTCAGCTTAAAAAAAAAAAAAAAAAAAAAAAAAAAAAAAGAATAAAAAAGAAAATCCTACAACAGCCTGTACCTGTAAGCTTTAAACAAAGATCTTTGAAGTAAGGTAGCCATTATGGAGGGAAAAGGACACTCCCAGAAACTGTAAGGTTACTGAATGAAAATCTCAGTGTCAGGGGTGGGCTATTTTCCTTTGATTGTTGGCAAGGGTGGTCCCTGGCATCCCAGAACAATGCAGGCTGTTGCCACTGCTGTTGGTTGCACATGGGAACTAGACGGTACAATGCTATTGCTGAAGATGTTACATGCTGATTGCAGGACATGCATAATTCAAATGGGTTGAGCTGAAAGCTCCCTTCTTGCAGACTGATGTTTGGATGCACCAGGTGTTATGTAGGCCGCTCGGGGAGAATTGTCACAAATGGTCCTACTTATCTATGGACACCAGTGTTAATGTCACCTGTGTGCCAGATAGATGTGCCCCTGGTACAGTAATGGTACAACTAATGTCTGATTGTCTTTAAGAACTGCTCTGCAGGAAGGGACTCATGTTGGAACTGTAAGATAAAAGCCTTTACCTGGGGAGGTCATAGGGTCCTAGTGTGGCAATTACTTCTGTATTTTCAAAAGTAGGTTAAATGGGCACGTGCCTGTCAAATAGTCTGCTAAACATTTGTGTTTATACCTATAGATGACTGAGCTCTCAGCGTCTGTTGTAGAGAGGATCCTTCTCTTCTCTTCCAGTGGGTAAGTTACTGAGAAGACTCATAGCCCATCAAGTTGCAGAGAATAAAGTGGCTGTTGCTATGACACAGTGGTCCGGTACTCAGCCACAATGGAAGTCAATGACCAAGCATCTCTGTCACCTCCCAATGCTCAGAGAATACAGCAGCAAAAGAGGGGGTGGAAGGAAAGCCCGAGGAAGACGGGAGTGCCGTGTACCCATCTTCAGAACAACGCAAGGCCCTTACCTTCTTAAAACCGCCTCAGCTGCATGGGCTTTCAGGAGTATCTAAGGAAGGAGACTACCTGGAGGAGAAATCCATTTAGTTTTTAGAAGAGGAATAAATCTGTGTTAGGATGGGACTTTTCTGTGGCACAGCTGTTTTGAGGTCATCCACACTAATGTAAGTTACACTCACCCCATGCTTCTCTAAGCACCCCTTGTAAATTCATTGGTTCATCAAGGGTACAGTCACTTCTGTGGTCTGTTATTGGTGCCCTATCTAGAGTGAACAGTTATTTGCCCAGTCTCCCTTGGAAAAGTTAATGCAACAACCATATATCTGCATTAAGCTTGATTTTCTTCACATACACCAGCTAACGCAATATTCAGTACTGTAACCATCTTAATACAAGTGTGAAAATTATGTTTGAGACAGGATCTCACTATCTAACCCTGGTTGGTCTTGAACTCACAGAGATCCTTTTGCCTCCACATCCTGAATGATGAGATTAGAGGCGAGCAGTCCTAAATCATTTTTAAGAGCATAACAAGGTCCTCATATAATCCTCAAGGCAGCTCTACCAGGCAGCGTCATTCTTCCTCGCATCAAAGGATAAATTGCGGCCGTTGCTCTCCGCGATGGCGTCTACTGCCCCATCTGCATTTCTGGATGTCCCGGGGGCAAAAGCGCCACGGTGAGGTCCCCTCGCCTCGCCCCGTTTCCCGTCGTGAACTGTGGCCACCACCTGATGTCCCTCTCTGCCTTTGGGAGAGCCAATGAGGGTGCAGTTAATCCCACCCCATTCTACAGACGTGACAGCGGAGGCTCAGAGTCGCCCAGCGCCTTTCTATAGCCCACGAAGATGCAGTCGCGGCCATATGACCACGCGATGCTGAGTACATTGGATCCCGGGTGACAGGCAGCCTCCCGCCTCAACGTCCGGTACCAGATCCGGAAACCTCCCTTCCGGTTCCCAAGTCCGCGTTTCGGAAGTGAGTCACTCTGCCAGCACATAAGATGGCCCCTAAGCTCACCGACCGCCCCGAATGTCGACGGTGAGGTGGGCGGGACCCGGAAGTTGCCCGGTCGGGGAATGGCGGCCTCTGGGGGCGTGGCTTCCGGCGCTCCTTGCTTGCAAGTAGCCGCGGCTTAGAGCGCAGGCGGCAGCTGACAGGCGCTTTTCTTCAGACGGCTGCGGCTGGAGCCCAGCGAGGCGGGCGGCCCCCTGCTCTCGTCCCCGTGTCCCGGCCCGCGAAGTTCCAGGGCGCCGGGGCATGGAAGAGGGGAAGATGGACGAGAATGAATGGGGTTACCACGGCGAAGGCAACAAGAGCCTTGTGGTGGCCCACGCGCAGGTGAGCGACTGGCGGGCAGCGCGGCTCCGGGCCTCACCGACGGCTCTGGCAGCCCTGTGCCTACTACCTTCTAGTTTGGGTCGTGACTCCTCCTCCAGCTTCCGCTCAGGTGGTTCCCTGGTACCCCTCCCTCCCAGTATCCTCCTCAGCTCCGTGCTCATCCCGGCAGCCCTATCTCCGCTGGCCCCCTTTCCTCCTAGTGTCCCTTCTCGTTTCTCTGTCCCCTCAGTACCCTTTCCCACACCCTGTGGGTGCCGCGTGGCCCCACGCTGTGCAGCCTCCGCTGGGATGCTCATCTTACTGCCAGGCCACGGTGGGCCAGAGGCCGAGACTGGATCAGGGCTTGGGCAGCACTGACGAAAGTACCCAGTGCTGTCACGCTCAGCCTGGAGTTCAGCCTCCGGAGTCCACGGAGCTGCTGTGAGGAACGGGTGCTACCGCAGGTTCGCATCCAGATCATAAACTTTAAACGGTTTCTCCTTCGTTCAGCTTGAAAGGGAGTTTCAGAAGACGTAGTGATTTCCAAGGGGGCGAATTTCGGAAGAGAGTTTCAGAAGACGTAGTGATTTCCAAGGGGGCGAATTTAGGAAGAGAAGCGTATGGATTTGTGTGCAGGCCCAGGTTCTCTGACGTCTTGCTGTCTGATACAATCTAGCAGGAATGTGGTGGGCCGGGGGAGTAGAAGGCAGGAGGTGTCATGTGAGAAGGTTAATAGCACAGGGAGCTGGGGTGATTCCCAGCCTGCCACTGGCGGAGGAGCAGTAGACTGCGTTAGGAACGTGAAGCTAGGAATAGCTTGCATTTTGTTTTCATGAAGTTAAGCTTGTACCGACCTTACTGAGTGTTGAGCCGCCTAGAGCTTGGACCTTGAGTCTAGCTGACATCTGCCCTACTGGTGTGTTTGTGGAGACTGTGGACCAAAGAGGAGAAAGCCCGAAAGGCAGTTTTTTCAGCGCCTTTTGTGGCCAAGGAGAACGGATGTTTTTAGGCGGGATGGAGAGGCTCTCTGCTCCTTTGGGTCCTGGGCATGTCTGTAGCCCTCCTTCCCCTTCGAGAACCGGTGAACTTCGCGTCTCTGCTCAGCCTCCCAGGCCTGCCTCATCCAGTCCAAGTCTCTCCAGCCATGGCCACTTTTTCTGAGCTAGTGTCAACCCCTGAGTTGAAAAGCTCTTATAGAGTCCTTCCTCCTCTGTAGTATGTGTGCACAGCTATCCTTAGTCCCATCCTGCAGGAGCTGGTATGCCGGTGGGGACATCTGCACTGTCACTGGCCAGCAGCTCTGAAAGAAAATGTGCTGTTCTGCCGTGTGCAAACATGGAATGAGAGAAAAGGAGCCTCTGTGGTGTCCAGGTCTTGGGGCGGAGGAGCTTAGCGAGGGCTGCAGGAGTAGATAGGGATGCTTGGGTAGACAGGCTATTCACCTGTGAATAGCCAGCCAGTTCACAGGTGAGCTGTGTTGGTTCCCTAGGCCCCCTACTCTCAGGGAATAAAGGTCCAGAAGGTTCCACTGTTGCTTGTCACTCTGAGTTACATCTTGTCCCGAGACCTCTGCAGTGTATCCATTCCCAGGTACAGTACCCGGTGCAGACAGACTTCTGATACACTTGCCAGGCTGTCAGCAGCTGCTCACTGTCCTGTCTGCAGCCACAGGCATGGATCCTGCCGGGAGCTCTTGGGCAAGGACGTGCTGCATCTTAGCACAGGTTTTTCTCCAGGCAGCCTGAGGGCATGACACTTGTGCTACTAGCCATTTCAGTCAGTGACGCCTGTGGCCTCCCTCAAGGCCACCACAGCTTAGCTCTCCTAAGGCAGCTGTATTTGCTGCCTTTACCTCCCACTTGTTGGTTTTGGCTCAGAATCTGTGAGGTTACTTTACATTTCGTTTGTCATCCTGTCTCTTAGTTGTCCGGGGCACCTAGCCTTTGGGCTGTGTTGGCCATGAGGTGCAGGGGAATCAATGCCCACTCCTCCTCCTATGAAGAGCTGTCGTGTTTTCTTCTTGCTGACAGAGGTAACATGAAAGACTTGTTACTTAACTAGTCTGCTCAAAAAGAACATTTATCAGAACTTGAAGAGAACTGCTCATTGCAAGTTGGTCTGGTTTTAAACCCTGTCAGAGACTCTGTGGAGAGCCTCAGATCGTTTCTATGACTGTGTAGCGTCTGGACCTTTTAGGTGTGAACGACAAACTGTGGGGTCATTTCACAGGTTTCTTTCAGTCTTGTGTGTTAGGACTTATGTATTACAATATAAACGGTTTAGATGGCTATTTTATAGTGGATGGATTAGATAAAGTAGGCTAATACCCATTTAGTGTGGGTAAATGTTACTAATGTTAACTGGAAAAAGGAAATTACAGACAGGTAGTGTGATTGCAATTACACATGACTGAAAGAAAATACATCAAAATATTATAAGTAGTTAGCCACTTACATTAGTATCACTTGATTGCTTGATTGAGAATGGGTCACTGTGTTACCCTGGCTGACCTCAAACTCATCGACTCAAGCCATCTTTCTCATCCTCCTTAGGAATTGGGATTAAAGGCTGCCAGACTTGGCTCCTCTTTTTGTTTTAAAAAATATTTTCTGCACTGTGAAAGCCAGAGGTAGGGAGATCTCTGTGAGTTTGGAGCTAGCTTGGTCTATCTAGCCAGTTCCAGGCTAGCCAGAGCTACATAGTGAGAGTCTGTCTCAAAAAAGAGAAGAATCTGAAACTTTTTACATTAATTATATATTCATTAACTATATATTATAATCAGGAAAAAGGAGCTGTGGGTGTCGCTTAGTGTTAGAATGTGCACTTAGCATGTTTGATGCCCTGACTTTAGTACCCAGCATCAAAACTATCCCAGGGTTGAAAAGGATACAGATGTGAACCATAGTGTAGGTCACAAAGTGAATGTAACACCCATTGATCCTGAGGAGTTCAAGGGGAGCTGTGGAGACAGATTCCCAAGGGGTGGCAACCCCAACAACATGTGAAAAAGACAAAAATCAGGATGAACAAGGAAGTTTTTTTAAAGTTTGTAGTTTGGGATCTAATTTCTGTTCTCATGTGGTTGATAAGAGAAAATTGGAAGTGAAAATAGGTATTATTCACGAAGATGTCCATCACAGGGTTATTTATGATAGCTAGGTAGACCATCCCTTTAGTGCTGGAGGAATTATCCTCCTTTGTAGACATGCTAAGGCACAGCTGATATTTCTGTTTTTCCAATCACGTGGTGTTTAACCCAGATCCTGGCTGGGTCCATCTTCACTATTCACCTAGAACTGGTTGAAAGAGTTTGAACTTTTTCTTGTCACTGACATGTCTTAAAAAAATGACATGTCCTACACTTGAGATGTTCAGTGGTGGTCTTTCAGATTGATGCTGTTGTGTGTTTCTTTCTTGATGGTTTGATCTGGTCACATCCTATCTCATTGCATGTTCACTCTTTATTCCTTAATCTGGTGTTGCTAGGTTAGAATTTATTTCCATATTCCCTTGGGTGATGGTTAGCCTTGTGTTGCCTTGCTAGTATAAGGATGTGTTTGTTTTTCTACATTTACATTTTCAGAGGTGACCTTTCTCCCTCCCTGACTCCTTCCTGCTTGGTCAAAATTCAGTCAGAGTTCAGCTCTCAGTACCGATCTCTGTCTTCAGAAAGCAGCAATGCAGGAGGCTTTTGTGTGTTTACAGAACAAGGCTGTTCTGTGCTGGCCCACCCTCATCATCATCACAGTCTGGGTGGGTGGTTCAAGGGGCTCTAATATTTGCTTGTATTTCTCTGATACCACCTGTGGCTTCTGTGAGTCTTGACTCCTTTTCACGTATTGTTGGAACCACTACCCATTAGGGGTCACTGAGCTGTCCTGTCCTGTCTCCATAGCTCCTCTTGGGCTCCCAGGATGACATCAGTGTATACATTCTTTCACTTTGTGACCTCCCCCTATGGTTCACATCTCTGTCCTCTTCACCCTGGGAGGATGGCTGGGAGGTTGAGCTAGAGCTACCAAAGGGTAGGAAGGAGGATGGACAAGGAACCAGTGCTTACTGCTGCTGATGCCATAGCTTTCTTTCTCCTTTGGGGGTCTGCCTATTCTCTCCGAGGCTCTTAGCTGTCATTGAGGCTAAGGGTGCTGTTGTGAACACCTCAGCCCCCTGCTTAACAGGTTGTGAGGATGTGTATTTGGTTGTCACAGGGGTCAGTGGTTTGTCATCTTGTGCCTCTGGTAACTAGTAGACCATGGATGGTTTCCTTATAGGTTGAGAGTCTGTGTGGAAATTGGTTTCAGGAGACACATTTGGGACATATGGTGGCTTCCACCTGGAAGTCATCCTTACAGTTTGGAGGGTCTGGGTAGAAGGCTGTTTCTGGAACCTGGGGCCATATCCTGAGGGGTGATGCTCTTTTGTATCCCTTCCCTTGCCAGTGATCTCAGCTTCCTGGGATCTTTCATGGACCCTTTCCTGAGTTATCTCCTCACCACCTTGTCAGAGGACAGTGGTCCCTGGGACATCTGACATAGTGGTTCTTTCTACCCTGAGAGTACCCTGTAGGTGGTAGGATAGCTTATCTTCACTGAAGGGCTTTAATTGTCCCCCCAGTCTCTCTCCCCATTATGGTTTGGATCTTCACTGACCCTCAAAGGCCATGTTGAAGTCTTGGTCTCCAGCTGACAGTGCTGTTGGAGGCAAGACCTAGTTGAAGGAAGCTAGGTCATTGGATCCTTAGCTTTGAAGAGGGAGGGTATTGGGGCCCCAGCCTTTTCAAATTCTTGCTTTCTCTTCTGGCTAAAGTTAGGGAATAGCTTTCCTCTGCCATGCACTTCCATCATGATACTCTACCTCACCACAGGCTCAAAGCAGTGGGTTAAACAGCCAGGGATGTAAACCTCTGAAGCCATGAGCCAAAACAAGTCTTTTCTTTATTCTATTTATTTTTTATTTGTATGCTGTTTTATTATTATGTATTATTACTATTATTATTTTATTATTTTCTTTTTTCTATTTATTTTTATTTGTATGCTGTTTTGTCGGCATGTATGTCTGTTCACCATGTGTTTGCAATGCCAACAGAGGCCAGAAGAGGGACTCAGGTCCCCTGGAACTAGGGTTCCATATAGTTGTTAGCCACCCTGTGGGTGCTGGGAACCGAACCCAGGTCCTTTGGAAGAGCAGCCAGTGCTCTTAGCTGCAGAGCCATCTCTCCAACTCCACCTTTCCTCCTCTTAAGCTTTTTTTTTTCCAGATGCTTTGTCACGGTGCTAGAAAGCTAGTGGTGGCATACGCCTTTAGTCCCAGCACTCCAGGCAGAGGCAGGCAGATCCAGCGAGATCCAGGACGGCCAGAGCTACACAGAGAAACCCTGTCTCAAAAAACCATAAAGAAAGAGAAAAACGTGAGCAAGCAAGCATTTCTTTGAGTTTCATTTTAGAAGGTTCTGTGTGGCCTTTTATTTCTATTATTCAGTGGTTGTTTTTTTTTTGCCTCCCAGAAAAATACAGAGTAGTAGAAAAAATACAGAATAGTAGAAGAAAGTGGCAACACCCAATGGCTCTACACTTCCAACATGATTTCTGAACACTCTGATGTTCTTGCCTCCAATTCATCCCTAGTTACATGCCTTTGTTGGTAGCAGGAAATCCTCCGCAGCATCTATTTTAGCCTCCTTTGGCCAATGACACCTCTTTTACTCGGTTCTTGCTAATGGGAGCTGTTTTGGGGCTGACTTTTCACTTGTTTTATATTGTCACTGGACACTCCCCTGGTGGCCTCTACTCTTCACTTCCCATAATCACCCATCTCAGCCAGGGGAGGCCCTTTAGGAAGGTTGCTTGGCTCTGGTGAGCTGAATGTGTCTGAGTGCTGATACTAACACTGACCTTTAAAGCTGATGACAGTTCTCCTGGGGGAGTTTGTGGATGATGAATGTGTGGGTGGACAAAACAGTTTTCCTTGAAATGCATCCATCACTGCATTGAGATTTTTCTTTGTTGGTCATGGTTTGAGCTACCTGATGGGAAAGGAGAGACTTCCTGTGGTTGATAGAAAGACTGAGCTACTTCGCATGGATGTGATGGCCGAGGATACCTTGTGGAGGGATGGTCCAGTAATAGAGAACCAGTAGGCCACTATAGGCTTTGCTGCTTAGGCCTCTCAAGGCTTGTGTCCATACTGTTTGCCTGGGACTAGCCAGCACCCCCAATCCCTTAGTTGACAACTCAGTAGCCACATGGAGCTGGACAACTGGAAATGTGATGTGGAGATGCCCCTATGATTCAGGCCTGTCTCCAAACAGTGTTCCAATGCACATGACTTTGACCTTAACGACCAAAATCTTAATGTCTGGGCTTTCTACATTTTATATTTTGGGATTCGTGTGGCCCACCTCAAAGGGAGAGGTGGTGGGGAGTTTGTAGTCTGGGAGTATACTCTGGTGCTCTGCATGTGCTGTTTGCAGTAGTGATAATGTTGATGTTAGTAAGTGCTGGGGGAATAGTGAGCCTACAATATTTTCTTCCTAGTAACTTTCTTCACCCCCCCCCCTCCCCGTCACCACCACCATGGTCTCATTATGTAGCCCTGACTAGCCTAGAACTCACTCTGTAGACCAGGCTGTAGACCAGGCTGACCTTGGACTCACAGAGATCTGCTTGCTTCTGTCTCCTGTTACTGGGACCAAAGGGGCTTTTAGTCTCTTTGTAATCTAGGCTGGAGTAGAACTTACTCTGTGGACCAGGCTGCTGTCCTTCTGTCTTCCAAGTACTGGGACTGTAGGTATAAGCCACCTTGCCTGGGTATAAACTTTGTTTTTTTTTCTTGGTAGGCTAGAGACTTGCTTTCTGAATTAATTTATGTTGATGCTCATGTTTTGTGTGTGTGTGTGTGTGTGTGTGTGTGTGTGTGTGTGTGTGTGTGTGCTAATAATGCAAAGGAAATGTATAGTTTCCATTTGTAATAGGCCAGCTGTCTTGTGTTTATCAGGAACACAGTGGCAGGAACTTTGGAAATGTACACTCATATTAATAATAAGATGCTGCCAGGTGGGGAGTCTTTGAGTTCCTATTGTTGGCATTTGTGTGCACAGGCCCTTTGAATGGTTTGTCTGAGGTTCCAGTGGGGGAGTTCCTGTGATAGAAAGGCTCAAGTGACTGCCTAGCACCACCCTTCCTGGGTGGGCCTGTCTGGCTAAAAAATTCTGTTGTGCAGCTTATTAGTTCCCTGGGAAGTGGAGAAAGACCCTGCTTTCCTCTGGTTGCAGTAGAGCTCTGAGAGAACAAACATGGCTCCTGAGGGCTCCCTGTGTGGGAGTGAGGTTTCCCTTACATGTAGGGCAGGGCAGGAGGCATCAGTGTGTCCTGTGTTGATGTTCAAGCATGGCCAGACTTTCTGTGGAAAACATACTCATTCCTGTCATTGACATACATTGTCTTAATTGTTGGATGGCTATAATCAGACAGGTTCTTGAGCAGAACAGCACTGTTGTACCCAGGTGAAGAGAAAATCAACTTTTAGAAGAGAGTTTCTAGAAGTTGATTATAATTAGCTTTTCTGCAGACCTACTTCTTTTTTTAAAATTTAGATGAGATTTTACTTCCATTAAAGTGATCATTAACCCAGTGATTCCCAAGGTTAATTGGTGTTGCCTGCTTTGAATATGGGGAGGGAACAATTCTAGCTTGTATGCCTTGGGTCCCAGCTCTGCAGGCCAGGATTGGCATTCAGCTCTACAGCTGATTAGCAGTGTATCCAATGCAAGGCACCAGTTGACAATGGGAACTCAGTAAGAGGGGTTGGAGAGGTTGTGTTTGGTGATGCATGCCTGTAGTTCTCACATAGTCCCAGCTACTTAGATGGCTGAGGCAGGAGGATCACTTGAGCCCAGGAGTACAAGGCTAACCCTAATCTGGGCAATGTAGACCCTTAAAAAAAAAATGAATTGCTGAGGCCTTCTCAGTGATATTGAGAAGGAGAGGCAGAGTATGTGAGAGGGGTTGGAGGGAGGAAAGGGAGAAATTATATTTTAATTATATATTTTAATTAAAAACAGAATTTATTAAAAAATATTTAAATTAAACAAGATGGACTTGGGGGCTGAGAGGTCCCAACCAGCGTAAGAGGAGTAGTGTGCATGTTTGGGGGTCTCCACAGGGCCTTTGTTGCTAGGTAACCCACAAATACTGTGTTTTTACAAAAAACTTTATTAGAGACTTATTTATATTCTCTGTGTGTGTGTGGGTGTTTTGCTTGCATGTATGTCTTTGTACCACATACATGCCTGAGGCCTTGAGAAGTCTGAATACGGTATTAGATCCCCTGGAACTGTAGTTATAGATGGTTGTTAGCTGCCATGTGGGTGCTGGGAATTAAACCTGGGTCCTTTGCAAAAGCAGTATGCACTCTTAACCTCTGAGCCATCTTGCCAGCCCCCATTTTAAAAGCCATTTTTTTTTTTTTTTTTTTTTTGATTTTTTCGAGACAGGGTTTCTCTGTGTAGCTTTGCGCCTTTCCTGGAACTCGCTTTGGAGACCAGGATGGCCTCGAACTCACAGAGATCCGCCTGCCTCTGCCTCCCAAGTGCTGGGATTAGAGGCGTGCGCCACCACCGCCCGGCTTTAAAAGCCATTTTTTTTTTTTTTTTTCGAGACAGGGTTTCTCTGTGTAGCTTTGCGCCTTTCCTGGGACTCACTTGGTAGCCCAGGCTGGCCTCGAACTCACAGAGATCCGCCGGCCTCTGCCTCCCGAGTGCTGGGATTAAAGGCGTGCGCCACCACCGCCCGGCTAAAAGCCATTTTTAAGACAGGGTTTCATACTGTATGTAACCTGGGTCAGGTTGGACGTCGTGGAAGTGCTTGCTTTCCTACTGCTGGTATTACGTGCATGTCACCACACCCAGCTTGGGTGTATGCATTTTTGTATGTATTTGAAGTAGGTTCTTGCTATGCAGTCCAGGCTGGCTGGGAACTCAATCCCAGCTTTGGGAGGCTGAGACAGGAGGTATACCGTGAGGCCAGCCTGGGTTACATACTGTGTTCTGAAATGAGACTGCTTCAAAAACAGAAGACAAAAAAACCCAAACCCCAAACCCAGACTGTGTTGTTGTAACCTGGAAATGCTGTTGAACTTGTCATGAGCGTTCTTCGAGAGTTCTTCATCCAAAGAGATCATATGCACACTTCATTTAACAATTTGTGCTTTAAAAAACAAAAACAACTTTTGTTTATTTTGAAACAGGATCTTGCTAGAAATTGTGATTTGATGGATGTAAAATTGAGTTGGGCTTGGTGGCACACATCTATGATCCCAGTGCTTGAGAGGTGATGAATTTGAGGCCAGCCTGGGCTATATAATGAGAACCTACTTTAAAAAAAAAAAAAAAGCAAGAGGGCTGGAGAAATGGCTCACAGGTTAAGAACATATACTGCTCCTCCAGAGGACCTGCGTTCAGCTGCCTGCACTTAACTTTGGGCAGCTCACAAACTGCCTATACTCCAGTTCTAGGGGATTCGTGCCCTCTGAGGGCCCCTACACTTGTACCTGGGCATATATTACCCCAGTGAGTCTCCTACATCATAGTTTTTTTCTGGCATGCCTGTGCACTGTGTGTATAAGTGGTGCTGGGACTCAAATCCAGGACCACCGGAAGAATAGCCAGTGCTCTTAACCTCTGAACCATCTCACTAGCCGCTGGATAATGACTGATGACTTCCTTATTTCCTTAAGATAAATGTCTAGGAGTGAGTGGGCCGGGCCAAAGGCCACAGACTTTGCTGGCTGCCTTGTGGTGCAAGCTTTCTGAAAGTGACCCCAACTGGGTTTCTCCGTGCTGCCCTTTCTTCTCAACTGCTGACTCTTATACCTGAGTGTTGGACCAATACTGATCATGTTTTGTTTTATTTTCCAACAGCGCTGTGTAGTTCTGCGTTTTCTGAAGTTTCCTCCAAATAAGAAGAAGGTAAGATTGGTAGGCTGACTACAGTCATCACAGTCTTTACTTACCTTTGCCTAGAACAGAAAAGTGCTCTACCTCTAGGGTGTATCCTATATCCTAAGCCTTCCAGTGCAAAAATATTAATGCTAATTGTAGAAATTTAAGTATGATATAATCATTCAATATGGGAAGTAGTGGGCCCTTATTCCTGATGTATGAGACCTAACAGGCCCTCTGAGTCACTGTGTGTCACTCTATGGTAGGTCTGTCTGCATGAGCCCTGGTGTAGCCTGTGGGCCCTGCTCAGAGGATCCCAGATTTCGACTTGATCTCGATGAGTTCCTTAGTTGCCTCAGCAGAACTGTGTGTAAGAAAATACAGTGTGTCACACTGGGTAGACAATCTGTTCTGCTAAAATCACAGTGGGCAAATTCAGGTAGAGCAGTAGGTTGTGTTGGCAGAGTCATCCAAGCACAGCATGTGGACCCTCCATGAAGGCTTGCCTGTCCCCTTGTCTACCCAAATTGAGCTACTGCTGCTTCCTGGTAAATCTCAGGTAGATACTGAGTATTGGAGGCTCCGATGGCCACAGCTTCTTATCTGCTCCTTTTGTTTCAGCACTCTCTGTGAGGGAGGCTGAGACACTTGGCCCATCTTGTCTTGTACATGGCCAGCTGTCTGTGAGTCACATAGGGCTCACCTGGCTCCATAGTGGGGGAAGGTGAGGAGGTTGTGTCCGGTGCACAGGATTGATGATTCAGTGTCTCATTAGAGCATCTGGGGGACAGTGTGTCAGCATCTGAGGGCAGAGGTCATGGGCGTTATGGGACATTGGTGGTAGACATGATAGAGGCCCTCAAGGCTTGTCTCCTGGGAGCATGCAGGAATGCTGTCTTTAATGGGGCAGGAGTGAGAGCCAAAGGTGGGTTAAGCAGGCAGAGGGAGTAGGTGGGGTCTAAACATCCTTTGGCTTCTACCTCAGCTGCGGAAGAGAAATGACTCAAGGTGTTCTGTTTCTGTCAGATGTGTCTTGGGGTGGTGCAGCCTCTTCTGTCCCGCTTGTGCAATGGCTGTAGTGTGCAGGCACCCCACCTCAGTGGGTGACCTGTTAGGCCTTCCTGGGCAGTGTCTTCCTGGTGGGGATTCACGTGGTTACCCTTCTGTCCCCAGATGGATTTTTATCAGGAGCTGTGACATAGCTGTAGAGGGCCACTGGGTGTGTTCTGGGTGTTTCTGTCAGGCTAAGTTCTGACAAGATCCAGTTGTAGGAGCTATGGGATATCTGCACATACCTTGTGCAGAGCGTTGCTGCGTATGGGTGGTGAGTTCTCCAGAGGTTTGTGGGGTGCACAGTACTTAGAGTATACATGGGATGGCAGGTTAGTCTATCCTGGGCTGGGCTCCTGGGAGGGAGTAGTGTTAGGAGCCCTGCCTGGAGGTCCATCCAGACGCTATCCTGTGCTTGTCTCTTCCAGACCTCAGAAGAGATACTTCAGCATCTGCAGAACATAGTGGACTTTGGCAAAAATGTCATGAAAGACTTTTTGGGGGAAAACTATGTTCATTGTGGGGTAAGTGTGACTTATCCACATTTCGATTTACATCCAGTTCTGTGCTGACAATACTGACATCTCAAGGACAGCCCTTGGGCACTAAGAATCTTCAAGCTTTTCCCACCTGCTGTGCCATATGGCAACCAGTCAGCCCTGCCCAGAGGCTCCTGCATGGTGAAGTTCTCAAGTGAGGACTTGATACGTTATCCTTGAACCTGAAGGGAGCTTTGCCCTGTGTTCCTGTGGGTTAAGGAACAATGTGGGCCCATTCCTGGAGGCTCCTCCTGGAAGAGGCTTGTGGGTGTGAGCATGGGTGTGAGTTGCTGTGGATGATACTCAGTGAGGGCCTTAGAAGAAAAGCTTTGAAAACCCTTAATACTCCTGTTTGGGTGTACCATCTTTGCCTCTGACCTGTGGTGAGAAGGACTAGATAGGGGACACCCCCTGGCCTGCCTATCTGACCTGACCTGTTTCTGAGCTTGGGACTTTGAAAGTCTCCTCTGTTTGTCATTTTTTCTTGGCTGCTGACTTTGTAGCCTGTCCTCTCCAGTGTCTAGTGTTGGGGATGTTTGGAGGATTCCTGCAGTTTTCTACAGGATATGTCCATTAAATAGTGTTTGTACCTCCTCATGTCTTCTTGGAGAAAGGTTGTCAGAGGTACCATCTGCTGGGAAATATGCTCTTCTGGCCCTTGCGTGCTAGACTGAGTGGCAGTCTCTGGTTGAGGCTGAATAAAGAAGGCCAGCCGGTTTCCCTGAGGCAAGATCCTAGTTTTGTCCTAGGCAGGTTTCCTTGTCACTTTGGGACTTTTTGAAAGTCACAATTCTGCCATCCTGAGAGCACAGGGCAGGGATGACAGTGAGGAACATGGTTTGGATTGACACAGATTTTCTTTGCGTTGTAAATCGCAAATGAACAGCTGAGGGAGAGCACCAGCCATGTGAGCCCGGTACTGTCAGACCTCGGGCTGCTGCTCAGCAGCTGCAGCTTGGTGACCGTCTGGCCAGGGTGTCCTGAGGCCCTTACTCTGTGTCTACAGACACTGCAGGATCAGAAGGGGCTATGACGGGAGATATTGTTGGTGTGGCTAGTCACTGGCGTCATGGATCCTGGCTGACTGTGAGGAGAGCCAGCTGCCATTAGGAAACTGAAATGTATTTTCCTCTGTTTAACTTCTACATGTTCTGAAAAATAATAGATCAGCTCTTACTGCCAAACTGGCACATTGAAAATTTTAAACTATAGTATTTGGGGGATAAAATATACATACTGTGAAATTCACTATTGTAACTCTGTTTAACTGTGCATAGTTCTGAAGCATTAACAACAGTCTTTAGGACATTGTGCAATCTGTACATTTTGTGTGTTTTCTTACAGGAAGTTGTTCAGCTGCCTTTAGAGTTTGTGAAACAACTGTGTTTAAAAATACAGTGTGAAAGACCAGGTAAGGGTGCTGAATGGTGTTTGCTATTTTTTTTTTTGTGTGTGTGTGTTTTGTTTTTTTTCAAGACAGAGTTTCTTTGTGTAGTTTTGGTGCCTGTCCTGGATCTCGATCTGTAGACCAGAATGGCCTTGAACTCACAGAGATCCGCCTGGCTCTGCCTCCTGAGTGCTGGGATTAAAGGCATGTTCCACTACCACCCGGCTTTTTTTTAATTTATTTTAATTTTTTTTTTTAATTTTTGGACAGGTCCAGGGTAGCTCTGAAACTTGCTGTATAGACGAGGCTGGCTTCCGCTTCCCAAGTGCTGTGATTAAAGGCATATACCACCATGGTTGGCTTGTGTGTAATTTTAAAAGGTTTTGAAATGTTCACCCCAGGTTAGGTATAGGCATTTTGCAGCAGTTTCTGTGGTCAGAGGCTTAGTCCCCACCCTCATGTCCTGTTTTCTTGTGCATGCCGGTGGGCTTTGCTGGCAAGAACAGGTTTAAAGCTTTTTCTTTCATGGTCACTGATCAAACATATAAAGTCCATGTGTTGGATGTGAAAATGTCTCTTTATAGACACAATAGACTTTATAGACCAAGCAATAATGCTGTGGAATTGTCCACAATAAAGTCCTTCCTGATTTGATTCAGAAAATGAAATAGTGCTCTGGGGTCTGCCTGGGCCACGGGCAGGAGGTGGAGGGTGCTGGATAGCACTGGGCTCTGGTGTTCCTGTTCACAAAGATGGACAAAGAGGCCAGCTTCAGGGTTCTCCTCAACTGCTGCTGCTCCGCACCCCATTTCATCTCATACACAGTTGAGAGTAGAGAGCGTGATACTTTACAGTGACAAGAACTCTGCTGCCCTTGTAATGACTGTTGGATTAAGTCTGCTCTTTGGAAGGGGAAGCTGGTCCCCAGGTGCTGATGGCCTGGTTCCAGGAGAGCCATGTTGAGGTGACATGGGAACACCAAGAATTAGGAAAAGAAGTGTAGTACACTTCTCCCTGTTCCTGGGCAAAGGGAGTGATGGAATTAGGGGCCATCCAAGACTCTTCTCACTTCTGATTTCTGTTACATGTTTTAAAACTCCACAAGGTCATGTTCAGAGTTAAAAATTGCCTACAAGGACCTTAGGCCTCAGTTATGTGGTTACGATTTATACCATGGGAGAGAGAGTAAGGATGAAATCTGCCAATTGAAGAGGTGGAGTTGGTGTCCTGGAGAATCCAGACATCCCCTCCTACAGTGACTGTATGTGACAGCATACACTGAGCATTGCCTCCGGGTAGCTCTGGAAGCCTCCATGTCTAGGGTTAGAGCTTGACAGGGCTGACTTCCGATGATGAACTCAGCTCTTCTTCCTTTAGGGATGGCAGTCTGTGGCCTGATCACTTCCTGTTGCCTGCCTGAGGCTATCCTGTCCTGGAAATCTCCCCTACAGGAGGACTCTTGTATTATAGGGCTGTCTGTCTCTTACCTTGACCCTCAGGTGTGACTCTTGTTCTGTCTTTCAGAGTCTCGTTGTGACAAGGACCTGGACACACTCAGTGGTTATGCCATGTGCCTTCCCAATTTAACCAGACTTCAGACCTACCACTTTGCAGAGCACCGGCCGATTCTGTGTGTAGAGATTAAGGTGAGTTTTCATTTGTGGAGGGTTGACAGTACAGGTAAAGGAAAGGTTGTTCTCAGGCAGTGAGTCTCCCTGAGTCTCCCTGGCTCTGCCTTGAGTGTGTGTTCAGCCTTTCTCAGGAGTTCAACGTGTTTCTTTTCCATACTTTCCTGCTGTTAACAATGAGGAAACATACCCCACACACCTGCACTGGGAAAGCTGTTGTTAGTGGTCATCAGGAGGAAGCTTGTTGGGTCCTCTTCTGTAAAAGGTGTACCTCAAAACCTCACAGTCTTGGCCATGTGCTTCCTGCTTCCTGCATTAAAGACTCAAATCTAGGGTACCTTTTGTCTAGAGACTGCTTCCTGTTCAGGAGGGCTTTCCAAGAGTCACAGAAGCCTGTGAGCCCTTCAAAGATTCCTGTGTACTGGCCCAAAGTCCTGGATCTGGGACCAAGACTCCCTTACTTCAGCTGCCTGTGTTGAGTAGTTGGCCAGGTGCCCTAGAAGGCTTCCCCTACCCCACAGAACCATTCCTTCTCCTCTTCCTTCCCTCTGAGAGGTGAGGATCCTGAGGCATGCCTTGGCCCAAGTACTTGGTGGGCCTTGTGATCCTTGCGGGCTGAACGTTATGTCTCTCCAGTTACATTATCCAGAACACTAAGCTCAGGTTGTGTGTGCTGACAACAGGCAAGGTTTAGAAGGCAGCTGGGATGCATTACGTTCTGGAAGCCTAGCAACTATCAGATGGGCGCCTCGCAGGCCCTACATAGTGTCAGTGGGAACAATGGTTCTGCTTCTTGGAGCTGAGAGCCCCGGGCCCATCTCCACTCTTTCCAGCCTGCCAGCGAGAGTACAAAGCTGCTCTGTGTTATGCTCCTGTCAGCCAGGCAGAGCTCCACCAGTCCTCCCAGTGAGAGGGGCTGTCCTTTTGTCTTCTGGAGGCAGAGAGCTGTATACTGTGATGAGGAAAGCTGAAAACACAATTTCTGGGGACATTTCTACCTGGTACTTGTTCTTCTCTATCTCATAGTTAATGTGTATGTGTTGAGAAGTATGTGATTTCTCCCTAAACATTTTTTTCTCTTATTTTACAGCCAAAATGTGGGTTTATACCTTTCTCGAATGATGTTACCCATGAGCTGAAACACAAGGTGTGCCGATACTGCATGCACCAGCACCTCAAGGTGAGAGCAGAGGCAGGTGCAGGAGGGCAGAGTGTGGCGTCGGGCCTGAGGGAAGCACTGGGAGTTTCAGAAGATTACAAGGAATTGTTGATAATCCTCTTTTCCTTCCTAAGTACTCATATTTACTTTATTATTTTCTAAGAGTTTTGATCTTTTTGTTTATAGTTAATTTTTGTGTGCGTGGAGGTCAGAGGACAGCTTGTAGTTGGTTCTCTCCTTCCTCCATGTGAGATCTAAGGATCAAACTGTATATGCAATGCTGGCTGGCTATTAAGTGGTGGGTTTCGTGCATGCTAGGCCAGCATCCTATCGCCTGAGCCACAGCCCTGTTCCTCACGTGCTGTTACACCCCTCCCCCTTCTCTCTGGAAGCTCCATTTTCCCCTCTCGTGGCTCTGTTCTCAGTTGTAGTTCCCTGGCCTGTAAGCATATCCCCATGTAAGTATGCAGGGATAGAGATTAGAGAGGCTCTGCATGGGACGGCTGGGCTACCTGCCTTTCTGAGCCTGAGCCTCACACAAGGTTTTCCGTTCCCATCCATTGTCTGCAGCTTTTCTTTCCCTTGACGGCTTTTCCCACGTCAAGTTTGTTAGGGCCGAGTTGCAGTGCTCTGTGTCCTCAGCTGGTCAGTGCCCTAGAGAGAAGTGATCTGCAGGTGCTTCTCTGTTTTTCTTGATGGGTAGTGCCTTTTTAGACATAAATGTGTTGAATTAAGTCCAGTTAAACTCTTTTTCTCTTGTGTTGTTTGTGTCTTGATGTTGTAGCCAAGCAGTCACTGCCAAAGCCAGTGGTGGGAACCTTCCTGTTTTCTTCTAGAGTTTTCATTCTGGATTTCAGATCTCAGCCATTTTGAGTTAGTTTTTGTGCATGGTGTTGGATAAGTGTCCAGTTTCATTCTTTTGCATATAGATAGGTATCTGATTTTCTCAGTACTTGTGAATGTCCTTCCCTCTAAGCATTGGTCCTGGTACCCTTTTCGAAGATGTTGGGCATATAGGTGAGGGGCTCCTCTCTGTCCTTCCACTTACTGGTGTATTTGTCTGTCTTCATGACAGGACATGGGTACTATTTTATGTTGGAAGGTTTTTTTTTTTTTTTTTGGTTTTTCAAGACAGGGTTTGTCTGTGTAGCTTTGTACCTTTCCTGGAACTCACTCTGTAGCCCAGGCTGGCCTCGAACTCACAGAGATCCGCCTGCCTCTGCCTCCCGAGTGCTGGGATTAAAGGCGTGCTCCACCACCATCCGGTGGAAGTTTTTTTTTTTTTAATTACTGATTCAATGTTACCAGACTCCTTCCCTTCTCCCCTTCCTTCTCCTTCTCTGTCCTCACTTCCCTCTCTTGCTTTTTAAAGACAGGGTCTCAGGTAGCTCAGGTTGGCCTTGAGTCTGTAAGTAGCTGAGGATGATTTCCACCTCCTGGGAGTGTAAGCATGTACAACACCCAGTTCCTGTCCTTGGCTTTGGCAGTCCTAGTGTGTGTAGGTGTGGGCATCCTGAGCTCTAACAGTCATGCTTACCTCTTCCGTTTACTCAGTAGAGCTACTGAGCCCTCCTAGTTACTCTTCCTTTAATTTATACTTTTCAACTACATATTTATCTAGTTACTACAAATATTTATTTTTCTTATTTTAAATAATGTGAGTTTGTATCTGTGTGTAGATATGTGTATGAGGTATGCAGACACACAGGCAAACACCCATATACATACAATTTTTTTTCAGAAGGAAAAAAAAATCTTAAAAAATTTGTTCTTTGAGCTGTCGGTGGTGGTGTAAGCCTTTAATCCTAGCACCCCAGAGGCAGAGGCAGAGGCAGGCGGATCTCGGTGAGTTTGAGGCCAGTTTGGTATACAGAGCAAATTCCACGACAGCCGAGACTACATAGAAAAAGCCTGTCTCAAAAATTTTTTTGTTCTTTGATAACTTCATATATAAGTGTTTAATATATTCTGGTCCTACTACCCCCACCATCCCTTATCTCCTCCGATCTCCAACCCCTTTTAATTATAAACTGTTTCAAATTAATTAGTTACTCTATTACTTGTATATGTGTGTATGGTTGTGTGTGTACACAGCCTGATGAGGAAGTCAAAGACCGCTCTCAGGAGTCAGTTCTCTGCCCTGTGGAGGCAGGGTTCTCTCTTGTCTCTGCCACGATGCTCAGTCCATCAAGCTGGACTGCAAGCCTCCTGTGCCTCCCATCTTGCCTCAGGAGTGCTGGGATTACCCGTGTGCTACACATAAGCTTTTTTGCTTAGGTTCTGTGATTGAGCTCAGGTCATCTGGCTTTTTACGCTGAGCCATCTTGCCAGCCCCGTTTTACTTTTTTTGAGATAGGGTCTCATGTGATCCAGACTGACTTCAAACTCTTTCTCCTCCTGTCTCTACCTCTGTTACTATTTAGTGACTGCTCTGCTTCTTCTGTAATGTCTATATATGTGTTTTAAATTTTATTATTATTATTTGTGTGTGTGAGAGAGGTGTACATGAGTGTGGGTATACTCATGTTAAGGCACACATGTGACAATCAGAGGACAGTGTTTGGAAGTCAGTTCTCTCCTTACACTTTGGGTTCTGGAAAATGGAACCCAGGCCTCTAAGACTTGCTTTGCAAGTTCTTTTACCCCCTGAGCCATCTTGCCAGCCCCATAAAGCCTCATGTAAGTCCTTGGTCACATGTGGTCCCTGAACTCTTTACTTGATTAGCTCCTTACTGGGATTGATTCTTTCCCAAACCGGTGCGTCTCAGTCTTTGTGAGGAGGGGTGTGTGTGCGCGCGCGTGCGTGCGTTCCTGCTCCAGCTCACTAATCTTCAGCAGGGCTGTGGACAGTTTTGGGTTACCTGTCGCTTCCATGGAGCCTCAGATAAGCTCAAGAGAGTGCTTGCTTAGGGCCTTCTCTTCTCTCTGCAAAGCCCATTGGTGGTTTTCTAGATTGCCAGGAATGTGCTGGATGGAGCTTTCCAAAGCCTCCATGCACGTCCTCATTCCTCAGCTCTCCCTTTTTGAGGGTTAGGTTATACTCGCTTGCCCTGCTGTCACCCACTGTGTACGGAAGTCGTGAAGCTCAACGGTAGCCTCTAGATTGTTTTGACAAATGCCCCAGAAAAGACGTCTGCAGTGGGTGAGCTCTCAATCAGGTCAGTGAAGACAACTATGCAAGCAGAGCCTTCTTGGCACTTAGAGGCAGGGCAGGTAACGGCAGTACCTGGGCTGAGGCTGTGGCTGTGCCTGCCCCGTCCTCCGTGGAGACTGTCAGCTTTGCACTGTGCGAGGAACAGTCTCATGCCTGTTTCCCTTGTGGTAGAGACAGGCTGCCGGCCAGTTTTTTGTCAACTTGACCTAGGCTAAGGCTGTGGGCCATTTTCTTGATTAATGATGGATGTGGGAGGGCCCATCCCATAGCGGGCAGTGCTGTCCCACAAGGAACAGTGTCACCTCTGGATGGTGGTCTTGGGTTTTATAAGCAGATTGAGCAAACCATAGGTAGCAAGCCAATAAGCAGCACTCCTCCATGGCTTCTGCTTCAGTTCCTGCCTCTAGATTCCTGCCCTGCTTGAGTTCTTGCCCTGACTTCTCTCAATGATAGACCTGGAAGTATAAGATGAAATAATCCCATTCCTCCCTAAGTCAATTTTGGTCATGGTGTTTTATCATAGCAATAGAAACTCTAACTAAGAGAGACAGAGGGATGAGAATAGGACATGTAAAATCTCAAAAAGAAACTGGGCATGGTGTTGCATGCCTCTAATCCTAACATTTAGGATGCAGAGGTAGGCAGATTTCTGTGAGTTTGAGGCTAGCCTGGTCTACATAGAGAGTTCCACAGGGCTACACAGAGAAATTAAAAAAGTGTCAGGCTCCCTGTTCTTCTTTATTTAGATTTAGCTGATTTTCTTTCTTTTTTAGAAGATGGATTTTTATTTTTATGAACGAGTGTTTTGCTCACAGGTGTGCATGTACTTAGAGGTAAGAAGCGGGGTGTCAGAACTCTGGAACTGGAATAACAGTTGTAAGCAGCCATGAGTATGCTGGGAATGGAACCTGAGTTCTTTGCAAGAGCAACCAGTGCTCCTAAACACTGAGACTTCTCTCTAGTTCCTGAACTGGTTTTCTTGAGTAAATGTTCCCTGGATTCTTAAAGAACTTTAGACATTTTCTGAGGTTTCAAATTTATTATTCTGACAAATTTTGCTAGTTTTTACATGTAAAAACCATGCCCAGCTATATGATAAGTTGTTTAAGAAGTATATATTTTAAAATTATGAAATAATGCTCACTCATAACTGATGGATAGTTGGACTACCTCCTTTCTCTGGTGATTGATATTATTAGTTTGGTTGTCTTTCCAGACTGTTCTAGAGTAACAGTATATACATACAGACAAGCGATGGTGCCTCTTTCCATGTTTCTGTTGTCGGAGCATGCAGACATACTTACAAGACACACTAGGATCGTGTTATTTGTACTTCTGCCCAATGCTCCCTCCACATTAAAGTGACCATTGAGGATTTTGTGTGTATGTTAAGTTTTCCAAAAATGTGTTTGGATACATGTGTGCACATGTAAGTATACTTTTAAAGCAAATATGACATCACATTACAGGCGTTCTTCTGCCAGTTGAATAAATGTTGATGATGTTTTAGTCTGTCTGTCTTTCGGAGTGGCTGCATTCGTACACTCATTCATCCCTTCATTGTATTGGGTCCTGTCAGTGAATGCTCGTTCTTCCTCCCGCAGTAAATATCTTAGCATCTGTAGCAAATGCTGTGTCCCCATCCCTGCTGCCTCTTTGCTCTGTGTAGCTCTTTGAGGTTTAGGTTTGCTAGTTTGGGGATGTGCACATTGAAATTTTGGTGGTCACCACAAAAGGTTGTGCCGTTAATCTTCTGGCAACATAAGATTGCATGCGCAGTGTCTTTCCCTTGCTGTTAGCTAGACACTTGCTGTTCTCCTCACCAGACCTTCACACGCCTGCTGCTCTTTCTGCTCATGGGAGGGCTGAACTGGCAGTGACTGAGGCCAAGGGGTAGCTGGAGTTTCTAGGGTGAGGGGTCAAGTGGGGTCCTTCCTACTTTCCCAGGTCAAGGCTGCAGCCCATCTTAGATTATGCTGTTTTGTGAGTTTTATCTGTAGTCATTTGTAGTCAGAGACAAAGTGTTTGATACCGTCATATTGGTGTTTTACCAGGTAGCAACTGGAAAGTGGAAGAAAATAAGTAAATACTGTCCTCTCGACCTCTACTCAGGGTAAGAGTCCCTTCTCATTTCCTGTCTTGGTTGGGTGGTACCTGCTAAGGGACAACCTATGAGGTAGGGGTTTTGAGGGTTACTTTGTGAGGTGTTGATGGTATGTATGTGAGAAAGAGGAGGTAGGGATTAGAGGCATGTTCTGTGAAGTGGGGATAGTGGACATCTTCTATGAGGGAGGACCTGGGGGCTGTGGGTGAGGAGGATGGGGTATTTTTGTGTTGTGGGGAACTAGGATGTATACTGTAAGCTTGTTGTAAGTATTATCTGAAGTGTTAAGAGTGGGGTATGTTCTGTAGGGTTGGGGTGTTTGTGAAGTTGGAAATATATATGGAGGTTCTGTGAAGTGGTAAACGTGGGGTTCAGTGAAGTGGGGAAGGGAACATATTCTGTGAGGTGGAGATGGGGCCCTTGCTCTGTCTAAAGGACTCTTTGCCCATTCCAGAAAACAAAATGTTGCTGTTTTTCCTGTGAGAACCAAATCAGCTTGGCAGTGCATTAAAGGAGAATCATGATTGGTTTACCTGGACACCCAAGGCTGCATGTTATGAAGCTAACAGTGATACAGAGCATTAGTGACAATTTATAACTTGTCAAACCTGAGTCAGGAGCTGTCCTTGGAATGTTCATAGTGCAGCCTTTAAGAGCTGGCTGGGGTGCCAGTGCTGCTGTGTCTGCAGTGTGACCTCAGGACTGGTTTGGAATACTTGTCTGGGAGCCTGTAGATTTCATGTGGGGGTGAGCAAGGGTCTATGTTCAGGGACACTAATGGAGGTGCCGGGTAAGGTAAGGTCTGGAGCATGAGTGGCAATGAGAAAGAGACAACAGGTGCCTTTGCTTATGAGTAGGGCAGAGGGCAGGAGAGGGCCAGTCCCACAGCTCCCCAAGGTGGAGGGAGGGTGAGGGGTCCCATGTTCCTGCCTCTTTTAGGCTTCCTGCCCTTCCCAGAGGTCTGTCACAGCATGTGATCACGATGCCTGAGTGCTTGCTCCAGCCTCTGGAAGCTGCAGCTGAGGAGCAAGAAGGATGAGATGGAGCTAGATGGGCTCTGAGTGATTGGTGTGCCTTGGCCTTCTGGTCCCCTGTATCTGCAGGGTCCCTCATGGCTACCTTTGGGCCCTAGACCGAGCTCCCCTCATGTGCTCAGGGCTCCAGTTACTGGATTAAGGTAGCTCTGGTCCCAGCTTGGTCTGGAGCTGTATGGATGGATGTGTATGGAGATCAGGCCAGCCCACTGCCTTTAAATCCTTGAATTTAAAGGATTTTGTCCTTCCAGAAACAAGCAGCGTATGCACTTTGCCTTGAAGAGTCTGCTGCAGGAGGCTCAGAACAATCTGAGGATATTTAAGGTAAGAACTGTTTCCATTCCAGGCTGGTTTCCTGGCAAACCTACCACACTATGGTCCTGGCCACGGGTTCTGTGACCAAATACATTGGGGTGTCCAGGCTGGATTGCCTCAGACCAGCTCTCTGTTCCTTGACATTGCAGGAGGAAGAGATGCAGCTGAAGGGGGAGGGGACAAGGCAGGGCTAGCCTTGGCAGGAGGTGGTGGCTGTGGCCATGCTGGGAATGTATCTCTAGAGTTCCCTTTGCCATTGTCTCTATGGGCAGCAAGCTGGACTTGAGGCAGCATGTGGACTTGTGTGAGGGAGCAGGACTTTTCGAAGCCTGTGTCTTGCTTGGTCTGGGAAAATGACTGGTGAGCTAGAGGTAGTGTCCTATCTTGCTGCTGTGTGACTGGTGCCTTCATGAAGAGGGTGGGACTTGGGCTGGTGTTAACCAGATCTAACAGAAGAATTTCCATACCCTGGAGACTGGTCAGAGTAATCAGCATCCTTTCCTGTCTGTCTCCATCTCCCCAGATCCAGAAAAGGAAGACAGTTTTGGTTAATTTCACCTTTAAAAAAAAGTGTGTCCAACCTGTGGGTGTGCCCAACCTGTGGGTGTGCCCTTGCTGTGGTGCTTGTATGGAGACAGAACAGCCCTTGGAGTCAGTTCTCTTTCCACAGTGGGATCTGGGGATCGAATTAAGGTTGCCACCGAATGACAACCCCCCCCCCCCCCCCCAAGTTTTTTAGTCTGTTTAAGAGATTGGGAGCCAGGCGTGGTGACGCATGCCTTTAATCTCAGCACTCGGGAGGCAGAGGCAGGTGGATCTCTGTGAGTTCGAGGCCAGCCTGGTCTACAGAGTGAGTTCCAGGACAACCAGGACTGTTAGAGAAACCTTGTCTTGAAAAACCAAAAGAGATTAGGAACCTGGTATTTAAATCCTGGATATAAGTCCCTTTAACTTTGAAGCCTATTTCTGAATCTGTCAGGCCACATTTGAGGTATCTGGTATGCTGCTTCTGTAAAAATCAGCATGGAAGAATCCAGAGATTAGCCAGCCCTTTCCCAGGAGGTGGCTTAAGGGAAGTGATCTGCAGTGGCTTTTTTAAAATTTAATTTAAAAATTAATAAAACAATTTAATTAAAACTTTTTTTTTTATTTTGGTTTTTTGAGACAGAGTTTCTCTGTGCAGCCCTTGCTGTCCTGGAATTCCCTCTGTAGATCAGGCTGGCCTTGAACTCACAGAGATCCACCAACCTCTGCCTCCCAAGTGCTGGGATTAAAGTAATGTGCCACCACTGCCAGACTTAAAATTAAAAATTTAAAAAAAAAATTCACCTCTCTTACTTTGTGTGTGTGGGGGTCACAGGACAACTTGAAGTTCTGTCTTTCCATCATGTGCGTCCTCGGCTTTAAACTAAAGGCGTTAAGCTTGGTGGCAAGCACTCTTACCCACTGAGTCACCTTGGTGAGTCCAGTGCTTTGTAGCGCAGTAGGTGGCAGTGCAGTGAGTTCAGTGTGGTGAGCACTGGCAGGTCTCGGGCTCTCTGGTTCTGATGCTGTGCATTCGCTGCTCCCTCAACTTCTGCAAACCAGCAAAGCAGAACATTCCCAAAGCTCTGATGGTCCAGGCTTGGCGAAGCTGCGTGGTTGTGGTCAGTGATCCCATGCTGGATACTTGTGGTTAGAAGACAGTGTTGGGTTTAAGGAGCTCGGACCTTGTTATGGGGTCACTACTCTACCTAGGTTGTGGCTCTTCTGGATGCCCCATGAGGTCCTTGAACGGCTATATTTGTATGTGTAAACTTTACCCTTGGATTTCCCTTTTACAATGTCCCTCAGGTCTAGACCCTTGATGCTGGGGTGAGACCTTGTTGTGAGGACTCCCTTGGCCACTTTTGGGCCTGGAGGAGGGGCCAGCTTTACCATGGGCACAAATGGCTCTACCCTGGATGTCAGTTGACTAACTCAGCTCCACTATGGCCACCCTCTTTTTCCTCCTGCCTAGTATGGTGAGCAGTGCTTTAATTTGTCCCTTGGACAGCAGTTAGATGGGAGCTTCTGGAGAGGCACCCCAGGATCCAATGAGGAGAAACTACCCATACCTCCTAAGGACAGAGACTGTTCTCTTGGCTATTACTACTCTCTGAGACCTTAGCTTCACACACCCACTCATTGCCTCAGTGTTTTAGAGGGTCAGCTTAGCTGTTGGTTTCTGGAGGCATTTCCACTTTGAGCCATTAGCTCCCAGGAAACTCTGGTATTTTTTGTAAGAGCCTTATAGGTACTGTGGTATTGTGTCTGCTTGGGCTGCATGTGGAGAAGATGCCAATGGTAGGTGTCTGGAGGGAGTTCTGGAGGGTCCACCATGGGGCTTAAATATGAAGGCATGTAGTTCAGAGAGCCTGGATATGCTCCTGGCCTTGTCCACTGCTCAGGCTCTTATCACAACCCAGTGTCAGCAGTGGGTAGCACTCGTCCTTGCTTGAGTGCTGGGAATGACTAAGTCTGAATGCTGTGTGGTAAGGAGCATCTTTTTGGGTTCTTTTTTTTTTTCCCCCGTTTTTTTGAGACAAGGTTTCTCTGTGCGGTTCTGGCTGTCCTGGAACTCACTCTGTAGACCAGCTGGCCTTGAACTCACAGAGATCCGCCTCTGCCTCCCAAGTGTTAGGATCAAAGGTGTGCGCCACCACCGCCTGCTTCTTTTTGGGGTTCTATGAAGAAGGTCAACAGTTTTAAAACAGGAACATTTCCATGTCAGTGATCTGGTCACTCCTCTTACCACAGGACTTGGCTCTGAGGCTTTCACCAACTCTGGGGTCTGTGGGGCCTAGTCCTAACCCCTAGACACTGCTTCAGCCCTCAAGTAACTGGTGATTTATGGACATCTGTGGCTTTATGCTCAGTATTTGCTGCAGACATGCTGTGAGATCATTGTCTGAGAGTGTCAGACCAGGGCGCTGGCCTGAAGTTTTGAACTTTCTTCCTTTGGCTCATGCTTAGCGACACAGCATGGAGAGTAGGATTCTTCAGAGGAGCTAGTGTGAGCAACCTGGTCAGGCTCGTCTCTGTTTGCGCCCTGCCCCGCTCATGGTTTTGTCAGCGTGTGTGATCTGCCTCCCTTTCTTCTTTTTCCTGTCTAAAGAACGGCGAGCTGATTTATGGTTGTGGTGATGCCCGGAGTCCTGTGGCTGACTTGAAGGAACTTGCACACCACCTGAAGCCCTTCTTCTTCCCTTCCAATGGCTTGGCCAGTGGGCCTCACTGCACGAGGGCTGTGATCCGGGAGCTGGTGCATGTTATCACCAGGGTGCTGCTGAGCAGCTCAGACAAAGGCCGAGCAGGTGCCCTGAGGCTTGGCCTCCAGGGCCCACGTGTCTGTGAAGCCAGCCCTTTCAGCAGGAGCCTACATCACCAAGGTAGGGTCTGGCCTTCCGCAACTGGGTTGTAGGGCTACAGGGACACTTAGACTATCCCTCCCCATTAGTAGTCAAGAGTGTCACCTATGAAGTGACCTTTGTGTCCAGCCTGACTTCGTGGTACCTCTGGGGGTGCTGTCTAGCTCTGTCATGGTTCCACAGAATGAGGCTTAGCTGACTTAGAGGTCGAGACTTGCTTCTCACTTGCTCGGCTGGGTTTGTAAGCTGCTTGACATGCGTAGACTGTATGGTTTCTAGGACTGCTGCCTGCACTGTGTTCTCTGCGGTGAGTCAGGGCTTTCAGCTGCACCTTCTTCCTTTAGATCATCATCTTTACTTTGGATGCAGATTCTCCTCAGCCTGCTTGTAAGACTAGAACTGAGACCAGGAGTCCTTTGAGGCTGGGCTGAGTGCTGTGGAGTGAGGACAGGCCTACAGGGTCTCTGGCTCCAGGTTGCCTCTCTGGTAAACAGGGGGGTGATCAGCCCTGCCACTGCAGTGCTGTGATGGCAACTCCTGGGAGTGCTTTGAGTTTGACAGTGGTCTGTGTCCTTGAGAAACCCCACAGGCCTAGCCTTCCTTGTTGCTTCCCCATGCCAACTGTTTTTTTTTTAAGATTTATTTATTTACTATGTATACAGCATGTATCCCTGCAGGCCAGAAGAGGGCACCAGATCTCGTTACAGATGGTTGTGAGCCACCATGTGGTTGCTGGGAATTGAACTCAGGACCTCTGGAAGAGTAGTCAGTGCTCTTAACCTCTGAGCCTTCTCTCCAGCCCCCGCCAACTGTTTTTTAAATGACTTTTTAACTTACAAGTGAATGTTCTGGGGTTTGTTCTTGAAAGCTATTCCTTATTGTTGAAACTAAACCTATAGTCTGGGCACATCGCTGTAGAATGTGTCTGGAAGGACACAGATAGCTGCCGGCACTCAGGTGATCTGGAGTCACCTGAGGCTTCTCTCTCAGACCTTCCTGACACTAATGTGCAAACAGGCCTAACTCATGGCTGAGCAATATTTGAAACAATGAAATCATACTCATGTTTTCTTGTAACCTAGTGTTTTTCTTAAATAGCATAAATTTATCAGCACATATAGTTTTTTATCTTTTAGCTATCATGCCTGGGGTAAGCATTCAATGCATGGACATTGCTGTCTTGATACAAGGCATCTGTTGTGTGTCTGAGAGCATCTTGCTGGAGTGCCTGAATAGAAATTGTTTCCTCCCCTGTCTTCTGCTTTAGTTGGTTCTTTCTGAGAGACAGTCAGGGATGTCAGGCCCCAGTTAAGATGGAGCATGAGTGAAGTGTGGAGCTTTTCTTTCTCATTTGTCCCAGTGGTCTTAACTACTGTCCATCACTCTGCATGTTTAGTTGGTATAGTGGCAGCTAGACCTTGGCCTTCTTGATGTGGCCTTAATGGTTTTTGACTCTGGAAACATGGTCCCAGTTGGTCTTGACGGTTTGAGGATGTTGGTATGACCTTTTGCAGTTCTGGGCCTTGTTTCACGTAGAATGATTATCTTTAAGCTTACATATAAAATGACTTCTAGAGCATGGGATGGAGTTAAAGGATATTCTGGGTAGGTGTTTGGATAGCACAAGCCCAAAGGGAGAGGCAACGTCCCCATCTTTTTTGTGTGTAGAACCACTGGGTGCTTAGGATGGTCTGTGCTCAGTCATCCTTGTAGCTTTTATGAGGTATGCAGCATCTGCCCTGAGTGCTAGCCTGGGGTCTAGGCTTTGTCTGTGATACCTAGTGGTTAAGTCCAGGGTGAGCCCTGCTGTCTGCGCCGGCCTGGGTCTCCCTCCACAGTCTTTTTGATAATGAACCTGCTCTCGTTCTCCCTGATGTTCTCGGTAGGAAAAAACACCCCAGAGCACTCGGGGTTACCGAAGGGCTGTCTTCTGTACAAAACCCTCCAGGTGCAGATGTTGGATCAGCTGGACATCGAAGGCCTCTGCCCTCTGTACAACCGGGTTGAGCGCTACCTGGAGGAGTTTCCTGAAGAGAGGTGAGGCTGGTGCCAGAGGAGTCTATGAGGCTAGGCTGGTTAAGGTTGCCTGAACTCCAGAACAAAACGAACTTCCCAGAACCTGGCTCCAGGAGGCCTATACAACCAACTCTCTGCCCAAGAAGTCCCCTGTGGGGTGTGTGTGTGTGCCAGGGTCCATATGAGATTAGTGGTCTGTCACTAAGACACTCAGAGAAAAAGAACATATAAATTTACCATTCCAAAAGCCTATGTCAGGGCCTGGCCTGCAGAGGGCAGTGTTGTCCCATAGGTTGCTCTTAGAACACTGGCTTGGCAGCTTCTGAGTTTCTCTGACTAACCACATCTAGGACCCTGGGCCTGAATTGTGGGTCCCCAGGTCCACACCTGCAGTGTCTGATAGGCAGGATCCTCCTTATACCTCACTGGCCTTTGCCTAAAGGTGTGTGAACAGCTGAGGGCTAAGCCTTGACTTCCCTGAGCCCTGGGGGTTGTTGAAGATCTTATGGTGCAGCATCAGGCTTAATGAGAGCAAGCGGTAGATCTCTTAGCTGGCTTTTAAAACAAAGCGAGTGATTGTTAGACTGTGCCGAGTAATACAGAATGCATCAGTGAGTGAAAGTCTCCAGAAGCTTGTCACCCTGTTTATTTGGTTTTGGTGCTTTTCATTCAGGAAAACATTACAGATAGATGGGCCTTATGATGAAGTATTTTACCAGAAGCTGCTTGATCTGTCTACTGAGGATGATGGGACAGTGGCCTTTGCATTAAGGAAGGTAAGTAGACCCACTGGGAAGCACCATGCAGTCATAAGGGTTTTCCTCCCCCTTCCCTCCACAGCAGTGACAGTCCAGAACTCAGAGATTTAAAAAGCAGATGGCTGCAGCGTTTCTCAGATGGGCTGGGGCAGCTGATGGAAATGCAGGTCTAAGTGGCATTTCTCTTGGTTCTGTTCTTCCCTGGTTGTCACAGACCAGAGGTAGGCCTCAGTGCTTGGTGGCCCTGGGCCCCACCTTTGGGATCCTGATGACTATCTTCCCCGGTAAAGAGCTAATTCTGTGACTGTCTGAGGCTTGAGAGAAGGTTTGAGAAAGTCTTATAAAGCCAAGGCCACAGAGGTTGAGGTACAGAGTGGAGCTTTCTTCGGCTGGGGGAACTCCCAAGGGGAACCTCTGGGTTACGGTGCAGCAATGGAGGCTGCCATGTGTAGCTGTGAGTACCGAGGAGGAGGAAGAAACAGCAGCATGCCCTCCCTGTTCTAGAGGAAACAAGGCTTACTTCCTTGAAATGTTTATATACTTTTATTCTCTGAATGAACGTGGATTACTTTTAAACTTTCTTAAAACTCAGGTAAATATAGTCTTATAGCCATCACACAGCTACCTAGACTGGCTGAAAGAAATCCTTTGGGAACATACAAAGTGCTGGTGCCTAGGAAATGCCATTGAGACAGGCTGCCGATAGTCAGATTTTCATGTCAAATGTACCCATCACGTGCCCTCATAGATACTTACCCCAGAGAAGTGAGGACTTATGCTCACCCTAGAACTGTACAAAAGAACTGTAGCAACCCGTTTTCAGTACATGACTCTCCAAAGTTAGGAAAGGCTGGTGTGGCCACAGCTGCAGGCCTACTCCTTTTGTTGCATGAATGGATCAGGGGAGCTCTTCTGACCAACAGAGCAGTTCTCAAAGGGCACATCATGAGGACTGTGTGCACAGCAGTCTTTGAAAAAGATGTGGATTTTCGGTTGCCAGGGTTTGGGAAGGGGAGATGCTTGTAAAAGTTCAGAGTCCCCATGGTGGTGGCTACAGAGACCACATGTACATATGGACTTGGAGAATCTGACAGGTTTTATCAAGGCCATGCTCACTTCTCATCATGATGCTACAGACGGTTTGTGAGATGTTATTGTTGGTGGAAACTGGGCAGAAAGCTTGAGGGCTCAGGTTAGAGTGCTGTGGGATGGTCTGTATGTCAAATGTGTTGCTGATTGGTCAATGAATAAATCACTGATTGGCAGTGGCCAGGCAGGAAGTATAGGCGGGACTAACAGAGGAAAATTGAGAGAACAGGAAGCTGGAGAGGGAGACTGCCAGCCGCCATCAGGACAAGGAAGATGTAAAGTACCGGTAAGCCACAAGCCACGTGGCAAGCTATAGATTAATAGAAATGGATTAATTTAAGCTGTAAGAACAGTTAGCAAGAAGCCTGCCACGGCCATACAGTTTGTAACCAATATAAGTCTCTGTGTTTACTTCATCAGGTCTGAGCGGTTGTGGGACTGGCGGGTGAGAGAGATTTGTCCTGACTGTGGGCCAGGCAGGAAAACTCTAGCAACATTAGAGTGTGGAGCTTTGTGCTTGCACTCATTCTTTCTCTTTTTAAAATGATGTTTTTAAATTTATTTGGTGGGTAGGTGTGTGCCATGATGAGAATGTAGAGGTCAGAGGTCATCTTCAGTGCTGTTTTTTTCCTACACCATGAGGGTTTTGGGGGATTGAACTCAGGTTGTCAGGTTTGGCAGCAAGTACTTTTACCCACCGAGGTGTCCTACCAGTCTTCTTTTTCTCTTTTTGAGGCAAGGTCTCACTGTGTAGCCAGGGGTGGAGCTAGATTGTCATTTCTTTGGCCTCAGCCTCTTGAGTATACCACATCCGACTGCTCCATTTCTCTTTAGGGATGGATATAGGTTAGGTAGTTGGAACTGGAGACAGTGCCTCCGAAAGCTGAAACTGAGGAGTGGTGAGCTGAAGGTGACCCAGTGCAGAAGCTCTTCTGGGCTCATTTTATCTAAGTAAACGGGGGTCTCTGACAAATACTGTCATCTCAGGACACTTGGGGCCTTCCTACCTCTAACTTGGTTGAGCACTGCCTGGAGGTGGAGGCAGTGGGCTTTCCAGGAAGGCCAGTTACCAGTGTTTCAGGTGAGGTGGCCGGCCCTCTTGTCTCTTGTCACCTAGCACTGCTCTTTAGTTCAGGAATAGCCATCAACAGGATACAAATGAGAGGGACTGTGTCTTGGGAAAGCTATCCCAGAAACGGGTGTGGGGAAGGGTGGGGTGAGGCTCCCCATCAATGTGCTGACTTGTGTGTTCCATTACTTAGGAGCTTGTTTAGTCCTCCTTTGCTCCACTGGTTTGGACATTACCCATTTGTATTCTTTCCATGGTGGCGGGTCCAATTCACTCTACATATTTCAATTGTTTGTGGCCCCAGCTGGCACATGATGTAGAACTTGGGGTCCTTTAATTATAGTTGTTTTTTCCCAGCATGTGTGCACTTACCATTTGGTGTTCTGTTTATTTTAGGTTTTCTTTGGGGGTGCTGGGCAGTATGCTAGGCAAGCACTCTACCAGCTAGCTATAAATAAGACATTTTTCAAAGTCCCAGTTGAGTATTGTTTTAGATATGTTTGTCTAGATTCATTATTCATGTGTTGGACCCTTATCATTGCCTGACTTTCTCACCACTCAGATCAGTCCCCTTTGTCTCTTTTTTCTTTAGCAACAATTTCATGCCATGCCCTTTACTCACTTACAATCACATCACTTTAAAAAATACCCCTCAGCTGTCACTGTCTCTGCCTCTGCAGTCCTGAGTAACTTCAGTCTTTCTCTAAGTGTTGAATACAAATGGGAAAGTCGTTGTATGAGCCTTTGTGTCCAGCTTTGACTTATACAACTTTCAGATTTCATTACCTCATTCTCTTTCATGGCTTGAATTCCACTAAAGTGGACGTATTGTAATATAGACACCTGCCCATCTGCTGATGGACATTTTGGTGGTTTTCACTTTTCACTGTTAAAATCAGTGCTGTTGTAAATATTTGTTTACAAGTTTTTATGCAGCTATACATTTTTTTTCCCTGTATTATGTCTAGGTGTGGAGTTGCATGTCCAAATGGTAACATCTTGTGTGTTGTCCAGGCTAGCTTCAAATTTGGATCTGTCTGCCTCCATCTCTTGAGTAGCTGAGATTACGGGTGTGCACCATACACCTGGTCTCCTACATCGTCTTTTTTTGGGGTGAAGTGGATGAGTGGTGTGTTTGATGGTCCCCATTTGCTATAAAGAGAGGCTTCTTTGAGGGGGTAGCTACAGATGTTGGTGGGTATAAGGATAAGATTGAGAATGTAGGAAGGAACTGCGCTCGACTGGCAAAGTGGCAGGAGTAGATTCTTTTCCAGGTCTGTGACCTCACTGCCCCTGGGAAGCTGGCAGAAAGATCCTAAGAGCCAGAGTATGAGGAAGTTTCCTGTGAAGCAGTCTCTCCTAGAAATAGCTGCATAAAAATCCTTGCAACACTGGCGATGTCAGTCGACATGTTGTAAGAAGAGCAAGGGGAGGTTTGGAGTGTCCCTCCCTGGACACAGAACTAGGGGCAACCAATGACTGCTGGGAGAGGGAAAACTAGCCCTAGTGGTTGTCCGGCAGAGTGGTCAGCGCTGAATCACATACACACAAACACCTAAAGATGGACTCAGCAGTTGTATTTATATGTTTGTGCATATATACGTATGTATATACATATATATGCATGTAAGAATAAAGAAAAAGAGGCTATCAACAGGAAAGTGGGGGGCTTGGGAGAAGTTTGAGGAAGGGAGGGGAAAGGAAAGGTGATTGTAATTCTATTTCCATTGAAAATTTCTTTTAAGAAATGAAGAAAAATGTTACTATTGATATTGTTTTACTTTGACCTCCTGCACATAAGCACCCCTGTGAGATGTTTTATAAATGAGTTTGTTTGGTAGATTTCAGTGCCATATACTCACAAAGACAAGATATTACTAGTATTTAAACATTTTCATTTTAACTTTTTGAGCTTTTATTTCATTAGCTGTTTGGATAATGAAAAAGTAATACATACAGACTTCAGAAAAAATGTATAGCCCACTGAACAGAAGCCAACCAGAGCCCCTGTTGGAATTGCTCCTCAGTCTTCAGCTAAGAGCTAGTGGGCAGTCTGTAGCTGGAGTCTGGCTCAGTTCCCGTCCGACCTGTATTCCTGTGGAGTGCTTTGTTCTGCTGGGGCGCTTCACATATGGAGTCATGCTGTGCATGCTCTGTGTGTCTGGGGATGTTTACTCTAGCAGTGTTGGAGCCAGGCAGCCTTTGCTGCACGGTGTGGTTTTCAGGGCTTTGCAGTAATCCATGAATGGGTGGACTTAGGACTTCCTACTTCACTGTCTGAGGCTATATTTTTCGGTGCCTCAGCAATAGAATTAAATACTTTCAGTTGTCATTTATCATTTCAAGTGGCCTTTTATCTTTGGATATCCTTCTTATCTTCAAATTTGCTTTTTCTGCATAGTAGAAATTCTCTAGATTCTTTTATTTTTGTTTTTTTGAGACAGTTTCTCTGTGTAGCCCTGGCTGTCCTGGAACTCACTCTGTAGACCAGTGGCACTCACATGGGGCAAATTCCAAAGGCCTGGGTGGCTCCCGCCCTCAGCTTCCTCCCCAGCTGGCGGGCGCTTGAACATGGTTACCGCATGCAGAGTTCCGTAAAACCAGGAAAAACCTACACGGTTCCATTCCTGAAAAGGAGCTAATCCTGCCAGTCCTGGTGGTTCCCTGACCGGGAATCGAACCCCGGGCCGTGGCCGTGAGAGCCCCGAATCCTAACCACTAGAAAAGGGGAAGTGCTGTGGATATCGCTCTGTATAAATAAACACTGATTGGCCAGTAGCCAGACAGGAAGTATAGGCGAGACTAACAGAGGAGAATTGAGGGAACAAGAAGGCAGAAGGGAGACGGCCTGGAGCCGCTGCCAGGACAAGGAAGATGTAAGGTTCCGATAAGCCACGAGCCACGTGGCAAAGTATAGATTAATAGAAATGGGCTAAATATAAGAGTAAGAGCTAGACAATGATAGGCCTGAGCTAATGGCCAAGCAATTTAAATAATGTAAGAGTCTATGTGTTTATTTTATAAGTGGGCTCCGGGACTGGTGGGACTTGGCGGGAGCTGGAGAGAAATTCTCCAACTACAGACCAGGCTGGCTTTGAACTCATAAGAGATCCGCCTGCCTCTACCTCCCAAGTGCTGGGATTAAAGGTGTATGCACCACCTCCCGGCACTTCTCTAGATTCTTGTGCTTCATATTTGTACCATTTCTTTTCCATCTTTTTGTATATTCTCTATGTCTTTGAATAAATAGACACAATATGGTTTTTAAAAATACTAATTTATTTTATGAGCATGTACACCATCTTTGTGTGGGTGCCCACAGAAGCCAGAGGGTGTTGGACCTCCTGGAATTGGAGTTATGGGTGCTGAGAACCAAACTTGGATCGTTTGCAAGAGCAGAAAGTGTTTTTAATCACTGAGCCATCATTCCAGCCCCTATAATTGGTTTTAAATATTCTGGGTGCCAGAGAGATGGATTAACAAAGTATTGGTAAATAAAGGAGCTGGAGAGATGTGTCATTGGTGAAGAGCCCCTGCTTTCTTTCCCTGGGAGAAGACCTTAGGTTCAGTTCCCAGCATCTACTTCAGGATGAATGGATGCACACAACCACCTGTAATTCCAGCTTCTATGGATCCGTTGCTTTCTTGTCTCTGAGAGCACTTGCACGCACCTGTGCATATCCTCATATAGCTATACACACACACACACACACACACACACACACACACACACACACACACACACACACACACACACAATTTATAAAAGAAAAAAAAATCTATCCTGACATTATCTCTGTTACTTAGACTTACAATTTGAGACAGGGCCTCATGTTGCCCAGGCTGGCCTCAAACTTCGGGTCTTCTTGCCTCAGCCTCTCTAGTGCTGGATTTATAGATGTATAATCACCATACCCTAAAACATCTTTTATTGTATCCTTTAGTGCAGGTCTGTTTGACAGTGAATCTTAGTTTTGTTTAATGATATAACTGATACTATTTTCTAGAGATGCTCTGGGACCTCTAGGGCTTGATGTCTTCAGTTTAGGAAAAACTTTGGCCCTAACTTTGATAGGCTTGTTTCTATCTCTCTTTTAGGTTAGTTGCATACATGTTAGATGGATTCTCTGTCTTGTTAGCCCTCTGCTCTGTATTGTGTGGCTCTTTTCCTCTCCGTGCTACATTCTGGGTATTTTCTTTGAATCTTCTAGTTTAGCAATTTTTTTTTAAAGATTTATTTATTTATTTATGTATTATGTATACAGTGTTCTGTCTGCATGTACCCCTGCCCGCCAGAAGAGGGCACCAGATCTCATTACAGATGGTTGTGAGCCACCATGTGGATGCTGGGAATTGAACTCAGGACCTCTGGAAGAGCAGCCAGTGCTCTTAACCTCTGAGCCATCTCTCCAGCCCCTAGTTTAGCAATTTTTGTTTGTTTGTTTTTTTGAGACAGGGTTTCTCTGTGTAGTTTTGGTGCCTGTCCTAGATCTCGCCCTGTAGACCAGGCTGGCTTTGAACTCACAGAGATCCGCCCGGCTCTGCCTCTTGGGTGCTGGTGTTAAAGGTGTATTCCACCACCACCCAGCTAGTTTAGCAATTCTTTTTTGTTATTTTGTCTTTTTTTTTTTTTTTTTTTTTTTCAGAGCTGAGGACCGAACCCAGGGCCTTGTGCTTGCTAGGCAAGCGCTCTACCACTGAGCTAACCCCCCAACCCCAGCAATTCTTGATAGCTTTTTCTTCTCTCTGGTCTGAGCCCCTAAGTAGTTACCTTTCTTTGTCCAGTTCATATCTCTGTGGGTAATTAGTGTTACACTTCTCAGAAAACAAAATGTGGGAATTACTGCTGCACTGCGTGGTCAGTATTCTGCCCTGCCCAGTATTACATCCCTTTAGTTAATCTGATGAATGCTTAATATTGTTTTTCTAAAAACTTTAAATGGCTCATTTTTATGGTTTCCAGTTCTCCTCAGAAGTTCTGTTTGGTCTGATTCTTTGAGTGGAGCAGCATGTGTGTCTGGTACCTCAACAGCTGCAGTCCCTTTGTGTACATCCGGGTCTACTATTGTGGAGTTGTTTTTCAGTTTTAGCCTTTTTTACAAAAGACGACAGTTATTTTTTTAGAGCAGTGTCCATCTCTTAGCACAGGTGTAGGCTCTCACATCCCTTAGATGCTTTTTTGTTGGCTTTTACTCATGTTTACCTGTGTGTCAGAAATTGTATGTGTGCAATTATTTTAGAAATTACTTGCTGCCTAGCAAGTCTTTTTCAAGGGAGAATTCTAGGACTGTGTCTGCCAAGAGGACTGGCAAGCTGGTGTCATGGGGACCTCTCTTTGGGATTGATTGTTTTGAAGTAAAGCTGCAGTTCCTGGTAAGGCCTGCCAGCTGAGGTTCAGGGTTAACGGACTAGAGCAGTGGTCTGCATACTAAGAGAAGGTTCATGTAGGTCCTGTCCTGTCAGCACTGAAGGTTGACCCTCCTTTGGACAACAGGCCCACATGCCTGTTGTCCCTGTCTTGTTAGCAGTGCCTCCGAGCAGAGATCTCTGGTATTTCATCCAGTTTTTCCAGTTGGCTTTTGCCACTGAATTGGCTCAATAACCCATTCGAACAATACTTTAAGTGAAAATCTCACTGCTTGGTTTTGTGTCTGAGATACATACACATCCCTCCCTCTGCACTGAAGATCATTGTTACAATTTGCATTTGATTTGTAGCAACAATACCTTTTCATATACAGGACATATGTATTATATATGTAAATATTTAATATATGTCAGGGCTGCAGAGATGGCTCAGCAGTTCAAGAGCACTGGCTGCTCTCGGAGAGGACCGCAGTTCAACTCCCAGGACCCACATGGTGGCTCACAACCATCTGTAACTTCACTTCCAGGGGATCTGATGCCCTCTTTTGGCCTCTTCAGGCACTGCACACAACATGCAGACAGAGCACCTACACACATAAAAAATGTATATGGAGTCCAGCCTGGCCTCAAATTCACTGCTGTTGCAGAGGGTGATTTGAATTCGTGGTCTTTCTGACTCCTCCCAAATGCTGGGATTGTAGGTGTACACCACGACAGCTGGATAGGACTTAGACATTCTCCATGTTGGTCAGATCGGTCATCTTTAGCTTTTGGACTAGGACTGTGTCATGTAAAGTTCTTGATAATTGTTTAGGTTTTAAAACTGTCTCATATGGCTTCTTTGTTTTGTACCTTGGTTAGACTGGGCGTGCCTTCAGGACATTTACTATTTAGCTCTCTTTTGGTCTTAGTCAGGGTTTCTACTGCTGTAACGAAACACCGTGACCAAAAAGCAAGTTGGGGAGGAAAGGGTTTATTTGGCTTACACTTCAGCACTGCTGTTCATCAGTGAAGGAAGTCAGGACAGGAACTGAAACAGAAACAGGGCAGGATCCCAGAGGCAGAAGTTGATGCAGAGGCCATGGAGATGTACTGCTTGCTGGCTTGCTTCCCATGGCTTGCTCAGCCCACCTTCTTATAGAACCCAGGACCAGCAGCCCAGGGATGGCACCACCACCATCAGCTGGGCTCCCCCATTGATCACTAAATGAGAAAATGCCCTACAGCTGGATCTCAAGGAGGCATTTCCTCAGCTCAGGCTCCTTCCTCTGATGCTCTATAGCTGGTGTCCAGTTGACACACGAAACGACCCCGTACACTTTTTGACCAGACTTCTGCTTAGGTATCATGAAATAACACCTTTCTACGCTAACTGGAGGGTGTGTGGATGGGAGCTGGGTGTCTCCTGCTTCCAGGTTCTTCAGGCCCAGAACAGCCAGCAGGCCTGGTATGTGATCTGCTCCTTCCTCTCCTCCCTGCTTCAGGGAAGTGCAACCTGAGGTTTTCTCAGGGCAGCATCCCCTGCTTCTGTGAAATCAAAAGGAATGGTTCAGGGGGAGAAAAGAGAGTACTTTGTGTTATCAGTTTGATGCTGGGGCCAGTGATGATGTGTAAGGCCAGTTCCTTTTGTGTAGTTAATTTTTATGAAAGTAGGAGCTGTTTCATCTAAAATACTCAAAAGATGCACCAAGGTCCAAAGAACAGAAGGGATTGAAAAACTTCCTCAGATTGTGTGTTGGAGAGGTGACCACTGTGGTCACTATCTTTGGTCTCTCCCTACGTGCCAGTCACATGTAGTGACTGGCATGTACTGTGGTTTCTGGCAGGCACCATGCAAGTTCATGATGCAGAACTGAATTTGCTTGACTTGTTCTGTGGAAGAGCTTGGTTCAGAAGCATACGCCTGTGCTTGGGACCAGCCCTGCCATCACCTGGCGGGTCTGTCTTCAGTTTTCTCGTTATACAGTGGGATACCTCACTGCCAGCTGAGGATGCAGAGTTCCTAGATTCACAGCCCTAGAATGTGTGCACTATTGCTATAATCATCATTCCCCCAAATATCCTGCATGCATCTTCTAGAAGGTACAGAGTGATAACTGCTGAGGACTCAGTGTAGTCCACATATTGAGAAGCTGCGGCAAATTTCTGCTTCCTCCTCCCACAAAGACAGAGTCCCAAGTCTCAGGGATCCAGCTGGGGTCCATGTGCTTACAATGAGAAGTGAAAGGCTAGGGTGGGGGGCTGGTGTGTGTATTGTCACAGGGACTAGTTCCTACTGTATGTCAGTCATTCTCCTAACTTTACCCTCAGGTTTTATCACAGGAAACAGTTGCTTTATTTGGTGGAGAGGCTTTGTGACTTGAAGCTACCCCTTCTCTCCTCCACAGGTGCAGCAGTACCGAGTAGCCATGACCGCCAAGGACTGTTCCATCATGATCGCACTCTCCCCTTATTTACAGGGCACAAGGTGAGGCACCATTGCATGACATCTATCTCGGTCTAATGGTTCTGTGGACGATGGTGGCAAGGAGGCTCCCATATTTAGAAACCCTACCGGATGGGGCTACTGTATCTTTGTTTGACTCTCAAAGGCCTTCATTTTTTTCTGAAGGATAGGAGCTTTTCTGTGTGTGTGTGTGTGTGTGTGTGTGTGTGTGTGTGTGTGTGTGTGTGTGTGTGGTTTTTTGAGATAGGGTTCCTCTGTGTAGCCCTGGCTGTCCTGGAACTCACTTTGTGGACTAGGTTGGCCTTGAACTCACAAAGATCCACCTGCCTCTGCCTCTAGAGTGCTGGGATCAAAGATGTGTGCCACCATGCCTGGCTAGATGGGAGCTTATTAATTTATTTATTTTGGTTTTTCGAGACAGGGTTTCTCTGTGTAGCTTTGCGCCTTTCCTGGATCTCGCTCTGTAGACTAGGCTGGCCTCAAACTCACAAAGATCCGCCTGCCTCTGCCTCCCAAGTGCTGGGATTAAAGGCATGCGCCACCACCGCCCAGCGAGCTTATTTATTAACTCTATTCTCTAGAAACTTGTGATTTAATTAAAGGCATTTCTGGATAATAACAGACTTATCCATTTAAAAATGATTATTATCATATATGTTTCTATTTCTATTAATATCTCTTAAATTGGAATGCTCATTATTGTTTTATAAGACAATACTCTAGTAACTTAGAAGCAGTGGAAATAATGTGGCAGATTCCTTTCAGAGGAAGCCCAGACTCCATCCAGGTCAGAATGCTTGAGCCTTTTACAGGTTGCAGAATGTGCTAGCTTTCACAACTGTTACTGTCCTTTTTAAACCTCTCAAGCAGTGTATTGTTATTCTCACTCCTCTTCTGAGTAACCAGCACGTTTGCCACCACTCTCCCCAAACGTTTGGTTAGCTGGAGTCATCTCCCCTGGCTTTAGTGATTCAGGCGGAGCCCCAGCATCCTCTTGGAGTTAGCGTCTTCAGCGCTGATCTTCAGGAGTGCCAAACCCTACAGACTTCTCCGGAGTCCTCCACATCTGACCTGTGTTCCTGGGTTAGGGTGATCATCCATCTTTCTGATGTTTTTGAGCTTCATGGTTTCTAGTCAGGTTCTCTGGCACATACAGCACTGTCTACTTTCTGGTACAGCATGCTGAGGAGCGTTTATAGGGCATAACTGGTGAAGGCAGTTGACTCTGTTTAGTTATCCTGTCACCCTCTAAGAAAGACCCACACCTTAGCTGTGAGGAGCCCTTCAGTGGACTAAGGCACTGTGCTAGATGAGGGCCACTCCCAAACCTGGCCACGGATGCGGTGGGAAAGGAAGTGCTTGAATGCAAGGTGCTGCTCAGATGGACACTGATTCAAAGGTTGACAGCTGAAGGGCAGACCTGTGTGTCAGCCCCTGCACCACCAATGTGTCTATTTGTATGGTGCACAGTTGTGTCATCTGAGAAAAGCTGAAAGCTGGGGTCCATTTCCACACCCTGATCAACTGCCCAGTAACCAACATTTGCTGTGGGGTCATAGGGGTGTGTGTCCAGATGGCTGGAGGCACAGGATCACCAGCCATCAAGTATTGTATCTGTTCTCTTTTCCAGAGATAGGAAGATTGTCTCACTTTTGTGCTTAAAACAAAACTGAAATACCATCATGACTTGGAAATAGTAGACTCTCAGAGGTACATAGTTGGCCATAGTGGACATGCTCAATCTGACCAACATCTCACTTTTGCCTTTTTAAGCTGGCAAGGAGATAACAATCAAGGGATACTTAATGTGGACTCGCCCACCTCCCCAGTGTGACCCAGTATAACTTTTTATCTCTGATTCTGATTCTCAAATTCTCATTACTGAAATCTTTAGAGGCTAGGAAATGTGGTTTTGCAGCATAATTTTGATTTAGAAATTTGAAAACAATGTACAAATGATATGGTTGAGTTATGATGCAACCATTTGCTTATGAAATTTTAAATTTTGTATTAATATTTAATCTCTCTTTTTTTTTTTTTTTTTTTTTTTTTGGTTTTTCGAGACAGGGTTTCTCTGTGTAGCTTTGCGCCTCTCCTGGATCTCGCTCTGTAGACCAGGCTGGCCTCGAACTCACAGAGATCCGCCTGCCTCTGCCTCCCGAGTGCTGGGATTAAAGGCGTGCGCCACCACCGCCCGGCAAATATTTAATCTCTTAACAGTTCATCCTGAGCCTGAGCTCTTTGTCAGGCTTGGTAGTTTATTTCATGTTACAATAAATGTACCGATAAAATGAATTTTGTTTAGAGGTCCAAGGTAAAAAAGTAAGGAGAAAAGAAAAACAGGTAACAAGCCATTTCCATTCTTAAGTATTTTATGAATACTGATTCAAGCTTATTTAATTTTAAAATGTGAAATGTTTATAACTTTTTAAAGTTTGAAAAGCTTTGCCACTTGGCATTATGCTTCCTCAAACCTATTTTGTGGAAATTGAGAATTTGTGACCAATTTGAAGAGAGATGACAGACCAGGAAATTCTGACTTGTCTTTGCAGAGGATTCTGAAGAGGAAGAATGGGCCCCGCCCTTGGGGGCTGCCTTACCTGCTAAGGTCAGGTCTCAAGGCAGATAATAGGGCCCATCTATCAGGAGGCTCAACGTTGGGTGAAGCAAGAGCAGAGGAGCTAGGGGGATGGCAACAGGACACTCCAAGTGACTCTACTGCTCTGCTTGTCTGCCCGTGGGAAGAGCTGCAGGAGTCTGTGACTGGAGAAGGATGACCTCCACCCCCGATTTTTCCTGGAGAATATTCACAGACATTAGCCTTCTTTGAGAAAGGTGTGCTCACCGGAACTGCACCTAGCTTAAGGAAATAACACTCAGGGAAACCAGAGATAAATTAGGGCTGGGTCCATCCTAAGATGCACAGTAAACCCAAGGCTGAATTTATATCCTTGAATTTTAATGGACATCCCACAAGCCTCTGTGGCTGCCATTTGTTTCTATCGTGGTTGAAGTTTGTAAGTCATCTTCCTGTTGCTGCAGGCTTTTGAAGAGTTTGGAATTACCAGGAAGATTCTTATTGCTACTTGTCTCTAAACCCTGCCATGTCTATTACAAAGAGTATGTGCTCTGGCTTTACTGTTTATCTCCTGGCCTCCCTTGAAGCTAGTTAGTGTCTTGGAGAATAGCTATCAAGGTTAAGACAGCAGCTCTGCAGCCCCTAGATTATTCCAGTACCAGTTTCCAAGGCTACCATAGGGATATGTATGTGGTCATGGCAGTAGGGATAACTGTGCCTGGGCATTTGATGAGTCTTAGCCATACAGTCTGAAGGAGACAAGCTTTTCAGTGTTAAGGGGCTGGTGTACACTGGCCTGTGCCTTTGGCTGTCCTGGAGCTTGTGGTCACCTGTCAGACCTGTGACTGAGCCCAATTTAATTTTTTCCCTATAAACAGGATTCTGGAACAAGAAAAGAGAATCAAGGCTTTAGTGTACTTTAGAACAGGCCCATGTATGTGAGTGTTTGTTCTTCTAACTCCAGAGTTTTTGAAACTGGTATTCTGTCTCTTCTTTTAATGATTTCTAAATCCACAAGAGTAAGGATCATGGAGGAACCAGAACTCCCCAACAGTTCTCTTTTGCCAGCCTGGGATTAGATGCCATTCAGGCAATAGTGTGAACACTATATGTACTGTTTTCAGAACAGTTGGATACACTGCAACCTCAGTGCCAGGTCTGAAGTTACTCTGAAAAGGTTTTCAAGTCAGTGTTAATATTGTTAGAAGCACATGACTTTCTGATGTTTATAAAATCCACAAAGGTCCTGAGAAACAAACACTGAAGATGTGACCTGAGAGTTAACACAAAGGCGCTCGCTCTCCAGATGTGAAAAGCATGAGGGAACTGGTTCTCAGCAGCAATGGGAAAGCACATAGACAGAGCCTGTTCTCAACAGTCATCCATCTGGCTGTCCCACAGCCTGGTCTACTTTTCACTTTTTCTTAGCTTTTGTAATACTTGGCTCACGATAAAGTGACTTTTCCAGCATTCGTTAATACCACTGGAACATGGGGAATATCACTCACACATTCCACATAATGGCTTTTCCACCTTCTGTTCTTTTAACCCTCTTCCCAGACACAGTGTGCTGGCCTGTGGCCTAGCAGTCACTTACCTGTGCTAGTGTGTGAGGCGGGCACAGACAGTAGATGCACACAGACACAGAATGGGTGCTCTGAGAGCTGGGCTGGGAGGACCTGAGGGTCTGTGTAATCTGAAATTCTTTTGTTACTTGCAGCTCTGACCAGAGGCCTGTTATCCCTTCATCAAGGTCCCGGCTGGCCTTCTCTGTGTCTGTACTGGACCTCGACCTCAAGCCCTATGAGAGCATTCCTCACCAGTATAAACTAGACAGCAAGATAGTCAACTATTACTCAAAGACTGTGCATGCCAAAGACGACACTGTGAGGTCGACTCGGTTCAAGGAACACGAAGATTGCACATTAGTTCTCCACAAGGTCTAACTTTCCCCCTGCGGTGTCTTTGAAACTTGAATGTGGAAGTTGAATGACAGAGCTATTTTCAGTTGTGTTGGGTGACTTGGCTGTGAATGTTTTTGCTTTTAACCCCTGCTGAGGTTAGACTGCCTCTCAGAGACAAGGAATTGAAGAGCACTAGAATCTTCTAGGACAAGGAATGTAGGACGTGAGTGCTGTGTCCCAGCAAGCCATCTGTTTTCTTAGAGTGGAAGTGTCCGTTAAGCCCCAGGAAAACATCCTGGGTAGTTCTTCCAAGCAGAGCTCACGTCTAATTCTCTAATGCAAAAAGCCTTATTATTAAGACCCAAGGTTTGGATCTCCTACCACCAGACTCTTGACATAGAAAACTTGAATTGTCACAAGTATCTTACAGTTTGGATTTTCAAGAAAACATGGATACTACTGGAACTTTCCCAGTTGTTAACTGGTCACTTTTTCAATGCAAATCACACATCAACACAGGCTTTGGGTGGTTTCCTGCT